GTTATAATAATCATGACAACCTTACAACAGATTATAATATCACTAATAATCAAACCAAATCAACAAATATGATCAAATCTAACCCCCCTCCTCCCCTCCCTCCCTTCCCCCCCCTCCCCCCCGTCACTCAGTCCCCCATCGCCAGGGAAAGTGGGCGTGGCCAGCTGTCGGACGGCGAGGAGGAGCTGGTGACCGTGATGGAGGGGGGGCACGTGGCCCTCCAGTGCATCCTGCTGAAGGGCACGCCGACGCCCACGAGGCACTGGGTCGTCGGGCCGGAGCACGCCGAGCCCGCCACACGGTGAGTTGCTCATTATTTTTTTTTTCGGATTTTAGTGTCTATTTTTTTACGTTATTTTAATTTGTTATTGTTGCTGTTGTGTTGTTATTAATATAAATGATAATAATAATAATAATAATAATATTGTTATTATTATTATTTATTTTTTGCTCTCTTTCTTTGTATCGGTTTGTCGAGTTCTTGATATCATTTTTTTCTTTGTTTGCCTCTTTCTTATCTTCCTCTCTCTCTCTCTCTGTCTCATCTCGCTCCTCTCGTCTTCTCTCTCTCTCTCTCTCTCTCCATCCTCACGTCTCTCTCTCGATCTCTTCTTCTTCTCTCTCTCTCTTCTTCTCTCCTCTCTCTCTCTCCTCTCTGCTCTCTCTGTATCTTCTCTCTTTGTATCTCTCTCTCTCTCTGTATCTCTCTCTCTCTGTATCTCTCTCTCTCTCTGTATCTCTCTCTCTCTCTATTCTCTCTCTCTCTGTATCTCTCTCTCTCTGTACTTCTCTCTCTGTATATGTCTCGTCTCTGTATGTCTCTCTCTCTGATGTCTCGTCTCTATTCTCTCTCTCTGTATGTCTCTCTCTCTGTATGTCTCTCTCTCTGTATGTCTCTCTCTCTCGTATTCTCTCTCTCTGTACTCTCTCTTCTCTGTCATCTCTCTGTCTCTCGTCTCTCTCTCTCTCGTCCTGTATGTCCTCTTCTCTCTCTCTCTTCTCTCTCTCCTCTCTCTCATTCTCTTCCTCTCTTCTCTTCTCTCTCTCTCTCTCTCTCTCTGATGTCTCTCCTCCTCTCTCTCTCTCTCTCATCTCCTCTCGTCTCTCCTCTCCTCATCTCTCTCTCTCTCTCTCTATCTTATCTGTATCTATCTATCTTCTATCTATCTCCTCCTCCTCTTCCTCTCTCTTTCCTTTCTGCCCTTCTTCCGTTTCTCTTTCCATCTACCTATCTGTCACCCATCCTTTCAATCATCATTATCTCCCACCCCCTCTCTGTCTACCCGTCTACCCAACTGTCTACCTAAGTATGTCTATCTATCGCTGCCTGTCTGTCTGCCCCCCATCCTTTTAACCATCATTATACATCACCCCCTCGCTATCTACCCATCTACCCAACTGTCTACCTAAGTATGTCTATCTATCGCTACCTCCCACCCTCTAAGTATATATATAAACCGAAGAAATTCACCGAATTTCATAAATACCAACCATCTACTCGCACCATCTCTCCTCAGGTGGTCGGTAACGGAGAACAGCTGGTCATCACACGTGCAGAGGAAGAGGACTCGGGTCAATACAGGTGTATAGCAGAGAACCCAGCTGGTTCGGCGACCAAGGTGTACCAGCTGGTTGTTCAGGCGGCGCCGAGGATCAACGTGACTGCCCTGCCGCCTTACGTCATCGTGCTCTCTCCTGGTACTTTTGTTCCATTGATAAAATAAAGTTTATTAGTTAAAAGCAGGAATAGGTTTTAAAAAGATATGAATGAAAAATGAATTATTATAGGTTTTAGAAAGATATGAATGAAAATTGAATTATTATAGGTTTTAGAAAGATATGAATGAAAATTGAATTATTAATTAAAAACATGAATAGGTGAAACAAAAATGAATTATTGAATGAAAATATGAATAGGTGAAAAATATGAATTAAAAATAAATTATTGATTGAAAGTCTGAATAGGTTTAAAAATATGAATTAAAAATGGATTATTGATTGAAAGTGTGAATAGATGAAAAATATGAATTAAAAATGAATTATTGAATGAATGTATGAATAGGTTGAAAAATATGATTAAAATGATTATGAATGAAAAGTGTGAATAGATGAAAAATATGAATTAAAAATGAAAAAGATTGAAAGTATGAATAGGTGAAAAATATAGATTAAAAATGATTTATTGAATGAAAGTCTGAATAGGTGAAAAATAAGAATAAAATGAATTATTGATTGAAAGTATGAATAGGTGAAAAAAAACATGATTTAAGCATTAACTATTGATTGTAAAAGCACTAAAAATTAATTATTAATTTCAAGATTTTAATAGATGAATGGGGAATGAATTATGAATAAAAAATATTAATAGATGAAAGCAATGATAAATGAATAATGAATCGGTATAGAAAAATTGATAGATGAGAACAAATAAACGACAAAGGATTTAATATTAAAAGTACAACACAAAAGTATAAATGATTGAATATTGTACGCTGGAATGAATATAATATTTCAAAAGATGATGATTTTATAAATATCTTAAATGAGGATATTTCAAGTAAAACGATCATTTCAAGTTATTTTGGCATTTGAGGGTATTTTTAAATTGTAAAACTAAGAAGTTTGAACTGAGAACCTCGTAAATAGATAGCCTGTCTTCACAAGTATTTCTGTGTTTGTCTGTCTGTCTGTCTGTCTGTATGTATGTATATGTATGTATATATGTATATATGTATATATATATACATAAATATATATATATATATATATATAATTATATAATATGTATTATAAAATACGTATATATATAATATATATACATATACATACATACATACATACATATATATATATATATATAGTATATAATATATATATATATATTATACATATATATATATATATATTATATTATATATAGATAAACAGAAGAAGAAATGAGGGAGAGAAAGAGCGATTCATATGTTTTGTCATAACATTATTGCTACTTAAAATATATCACGTGTGGGAGCATGGATGATATTGATAATAATAATGTTTTTCTCCCTCTTACTTGGCCATTAGTTACTCCTTTTTTTGGTTACACATTTACCATAGGTGGTTCAACAACGACAATAATAACCCTCTTCCTCATCTCCCTCATTCCAGGTGACACAGGGTCGGAAATACTGCCAGCTGACGGCCGCCCCCGCCACAGCCACGTCAGCGCTTCTGCCACTTCGTCGGAGGCCCAGACGCTCGTCCTCACCTGTCCTGTTACAGGTAGTTTTTTATTTTTTTATTTATTATTTTTATTTCATTTATTTCTTTTTGCTTTGTTCGTCGTAAGGAAAACCCGTTTGCTTAGTTTTTCTGTTTTTTTTTTCAGTCACGTTAAAGAGATTTTATAATACCCCAGCAAAAATGAATAAATAAAAGATAAGTTAAAATGAAAATAAATTGAATTAAAGAATGAAAAATAAAAAATAGATAAATATAATAAAATAAATTGTATGTTCTCCCACTCGTGACACTGCATACACACATAAGTATTTATGTATGTGTGTATATATTGATGCATATATATGTTTATATATACATATATGTGTGTATATATATATATGTATATATATATATATATATATATATATATATATATATATATATATATATATATATATATATATATATATATATATATATATACACATACACACATATATGTACATATATATAAAATATACATGCTTATAGATTATAGATAGACAGATACATACATGTGTGTGCGTGTGTTTTTTACAGTTGTACACACGCACACGCACACAAACTTAAACCCACACAAAAGTATATCGCTCTGCCAGCAACCTGCTTTACCTCTCGAAAAGCTTCCTAAAAAAAAAAAAAAAAAAAAAAAAAAAAAAAAAACACGTTTCCTTTCCTTTTCTCCTTCAGGTAACCCTCCCCCTCGACGCCTGTGGTACCAGGGATCGCAGGCTCTCGTGTCCTCCTCGAGAGTCCTCGTAGGAACCGGCGGGCGCGACCTGACCCTGGTGGGCGTAGGACCCAGGGACGCGGGGACGTACGTGTGCGTGGCCGTGAATCCTGCAGGAGAGGCTCAGCTGAGCACCGCTGTCGTGGTCGTCGGTGAGTGTGTGGAGGAGATGAAGGCGGTGAGGGGAGGGGGGGAGGGTTTTGAATTCGTTGAAGGATGAAAATGGTTGTTAAAAGTACAAAAAAGATGAAAAAAGTGATGTGTGATTGACGTGTTCTTAAGAATATATTGTGTAGTTGACTTTATTTTGAATTCGCTGTGACCAAGGATGGAAAGGGTTAAAAAAGTGACTTGTAATTGCCGTGTTTTTAGGAATATATTGTGTAGTTGACTTATTCATTAAAATAATTATGTGTAAGTAGCGTCTTCATAAGGCAGTATGATGTGTATTTGACGTGTTCATTAAACATGGTGTGTTCTTAAAGTTCATTAAGAATATATGTGTACTTGACGTTTTCATTTTAAATATTATGTGTTCTTGAAGTATTAATTAAATAAATATGTACTTGACGTATTCATATTCCGTAATCAGAATCACTTGATTAAAAAAAAGATGAACGTCGATCACGTTGCATCAGTGGAATTGCTAATTAATTTAAGTCATATATTTTTTCGTGATTTAAATGTCACACGTAATGACAAATCACCATATATCTTTATTGGAGAGTTAACATGCTTTCGATTCATGTCTGTTTGCCATTTAGATCTTCACTCCATTTATTTTGTATCGGTGTATGTTTTTCTATGCACATTTTCGATACCAATGATGGGGCGAGTATATTAAGAAAACATACAGCATATTGAAATACTTTTGACTGAGTAAAAGAAAATTGGCTGATCTTAAAAGCATTAGGATGTCAGTGAGTCAGATTGATCGATAACTGATTATAAATGGCTCTATAACAAGAAAGGAATAGTTTTCAGTATTGATGCACTACGAATCTTATATTGTGTCTTTCGCTAACATCAACATAACACCTAAACTTTCACCATTTCGTTCATTTTTTTACCTGGATCTTGGCGTATTGTGAATATCAATAAACCCCATCATGTGTGTTGTTCATTGGTATTTCTTATGAGAACTTTCACTTCATGTTATTGAATATTTGAATAGAAAGTATGACGATCATCTTTCGAATGTAAAAACAATGAATCAAGAACCTCTTCATAAAAGGTTTGACTTCAAAAGAAAGACCAAAAGTGATAATGTTTCATTCCAAACATTTATCCACACACTTAATAAAGTAATTAGAACGTTTCAATAAATAATGGGACCCATTTTGTATAGGTTCTTAGTGCTGCTTTTTGTCCGTGACTGTACATCATGAAAAATGCAACTGTTTACTGCAGATAAAGGAATAGTTATTTATTAATTTTGTTAAAGATCAGTTGGCTGATTAGTTTCCGATTAATTTCATTTCGTAATTCATACGAATGTTTGTGTTTCCTGATGATATAGTTATGTACATTGATTATTGCCATTATTATTGTGCTTATTATTATTATTATCATTAGTAGTAGTAGTATCATTATTATTATTATCTTCATTATCATCATCAATCATCATCGTTATTACAATTGATATAATATTATCATTATCAACATAATCGTCAACATTATAAAAGTAATCATAATCAGAGTTAACCATTATTTGAACTATTATTATATTTTTTCATCATTTTTTTCAGCTCGTCCGGAACTCGAAGGCGACGCCGAAGTCGAAGTCGCGGTCGTGGAAGGCCAGACGTCAGCTTCGAATGCAAAGTGAAGACGAACGGGCGCTTCGGCCGCCCACGCCAATTACAAATATCACGTGGATGAAGGTGAGGCGCGAGAGGACAAGTACCAGGGGTTCGTAGGTGGTTCTTGGGTGGATCTTGAGAGGGGAGGAGGGGGAGAGGGGGGAGGGAGAGGGGGGAGAGGGAGAGGGGAGAGGGAGAGGGGAGAGGGAGAAGGGAGAGGAGGAAGAGGGAGAAGGGAGAGGGAGAGGGAGAGGGAGAAGAGGAGGGAGAGAGAGGGAGCGGGAGGGAGGGAGAGAGGAGGCGAGAGAGGGGAGAGGGAGGGAGAGGGGGGAGGGAGAGGAGAGAGAGAGCGAGAGAGAGAGAGCGAGAGAGAGAGAGCGAGAGAGAGAGCGAGCGAGAGAGAGCGAGAGAGAGAGCGAGAGAGAGAGCGAGAGAGAGAGCGAGAGAGAGAGAGCGAGAGAGAGAGAGAGCGAGAGAGAGAGAGAGAGAGACGAGAGAGAGAGAGAGAGAGAGAGAGACGAGCGAGAGAGAGCGAGAGCGAGCGAGAGAGAGAGAGCGAGAGAGAGAGAGCGAGAGAGAGAGAGAGAGAGAGAGAGAGCGAGAGAGAGAGAGAGAGAGAGAGAGAGAGAGCGAGAGAGAGAGAGCGAGAGAGAGAGAGCGAGAGAGAGAGAGCGAGAGAGAGAGAGAGCGAGAGAGAGAGAGCGAGAGAGAGAGAGAGCGAGAGAGAGAGAGCGAGAGAGAGAGAGCGAGAGAGAGAGAGAAGAGAGAGAGAGAGCGAGAGAGAGAGAGAGAGAGAGAGAGAGAGAGAGAGAGAGAGAGAGCGAGAGAGAGAGAGCGAGAGAGAGAGAGAGAGAGAGTGAGAGAGAGAGAGAAAGAAAAAGGCTCGCCTATAATGAATAAACGAGTCCTGGACCAAAGGATTAGAAGGGCTGTTAATCAGAAAATACCTGACTAGAAAACTTAAATGTAGTAAGGAGATATTTTTACATTCGTTCAAGATATTCGAGCTACCGGGTTAAAAAAAATACTGATTTTATTCATATGAGAATAACAAGTGCTCGAGGGGTTAAAAATAGTTCAAGATATTCGAGCTACCGGGTTAAAAAAAATACTGATTTTACATTTATATAATACACAGAGTTGATTATCCAACTAGTTTAAGGAATGAGAATGAAGAAAACTCGAAGAAAACGCGAATATACGTTTATTCGAAGATTTGTATGTCTGAGAGAGTGTGATTTAGATAGTTCCTTAAAGCAAGCCATGTTCGCCAGCGACGTTCCCAGGACGGGGAGGAGCTTCCTCTCAACGAAGTCCCGCAGACGAGGTCCTTCGAGCGCCTGGTGATGGGTCGGCGGCCGCTCCCTTCGTCCGATTACTACTACGAGGGCGAGGAGGACTTCAGCTACGCCGAGGACGTGTCCCTCCTGCTGCAGGACTACCTGGAAGGAGTGAGTGCGGAGGCCACGTCGACCCCCGCCACGACGTCAGAGCCCGTGGACGCCGGCCAGGAGGCGCCGCTGGACGGGTGGCGGGAGTGGCGCGGCGGCAGGAACGGGACGGCGCGCTACCACACCTTCGGCGGCGGGACCAGACTGAGGGTGAGCCGCGTGACGGAGCGCGACGAGGGCGCCTACGCGTGCGTGGTGACCAACCTCGCCGGCGCCTCCACCAGGACCTTCAACCTCGACACGCTAGGTACGTCGTCGATTTAACGCCTGCTTTAAAAGTGATATCCTGTATTTATTTAAAAACAAAAAAAAATAAAAACAACAACAAAAAACCGAATTATCATGATCTTTATCTATTAACATCTCTGTCCATTCAATACAGTCAAGATACCATTAGAACCTTCAAGCGTTATATCAATCGAAAATGGACACACAGAGAAAAAGGGCCACAATACCTTGTAGACAGTTCAGATTAAAAAGTCCAATTAGATCCATATAGATAAGGCAGCAGCTGTTCCGCAGTGCCCCCGGACATCGACACCATCCAGGAGGTGAAGGACCACGAGGCAGCCGTTGGGGAACCTGTCGTGTTCGAGTGCGACGCCCGTGGTGACCCGCCCCCTGAGGTACCCTGGTCTTCTGTAATGTGTAACGAATCCTCTCGGAGAAATTTCACTTTTCTTTGGCTTTATGTTCCTCTTGGTTTCATGTATAAGGAGACTTTTTGGGTTTATTTTTATTATTGTTTCTCACTTATTGTGTTTCAGTTTGTAGCCACTTTTCCAGTTAGCTTATCCTCCATATCATTATCCTATGTCAAGTTACTATTTTTTAACATTTTACTTATCCATATAACGCTGCACACATTAATGATCATAATAACATACAGATTCCCACTTTAAACAAACTCAAGCTCCTGCAATTTCTAGCTACAACTAGTATTAATTCTCATTTAATATAACAGTTCACGAATCAGCTGTTCACCCTTCATACCCCGTACCAATTAACAAGCATAAACAGGTACATGATGACCCCCAAACCAACATTAATGACATACCAACAAACCAATCAAATGCTAGTCCGCATACCAACTAGCATTCATACCAGTACACCAATCATATGTTCACCCTCAATAGCATTTAATAATCTCACATACCAATACAGCATCAAATGTTCACCTTTGATACCAACAATCAGACATACCAATACATCAAACACATGCTTGTCCTCATACTTAACTAACAACCATAGCATATCAGCACACCAATTTTCACCCTCCATACCAACACAAACCATGACATACCAGCACACCAATGTTCACCCTCCATACCAACCACAAACCATGACATACCAGCACACCAAATGTTCACTCCATACCAAACCACAACCATGACATACCAGCACACCATACCCCATTATTCAGCGTCCATACCCCACCCACAAACCATGACATACCAGCACACCCATATCACCCTCCACCCCCCACCCACCCACCATCTACCATTACACCACCCTAATGAAGTACACCCACAACAGGTGACCTGGTATCGAGGGTCCGCGCCGTTGGAACACCACTCCCGTCTGCAGCTGCTGGAGGAAAACCATGTCCTTATTATTACGTCTGTTCAGGTACGTGTTATGTTTCGTGTGTTTTGTGTGTTATAGATTTGTTGTGTGATTATATGGGATATTTTGTTGTGTTGGTGGATGGATAGATAGATAGATAGATTGATTTGATTGATTGATATATAGATAGGAAATTTATATGAATATTGATATAGATGTGTTGCATATATCATACACACGCACACGCATATTCACTCGCATATACGCACGCTTACACGCACACGTACCCCCCCCCCCCACACACACACAACGCACGCACACCCTCCCACCTCCACTCCCACACCCACCACGCCCACACAACCATTCATCCACCTATCGATTCATTCACAAAAAAAAACTGAAATCTTTGTACCTCGCCGTGGCTTCAGGAAGGAGACGGCGGAGAGTACACGTGCCTGGCCACCAACCTCGCCGGCCTGACGGAGGAGACGTTCCGGCTGCACGTGTTGGGTACGTAACTTAGTCGTGCAGGAGGGGACTTACTGCACGTGTTGGGTACGTAAGGAGAGGGAGAGGGAGAGTGAGAGGGAGAGGGAGAAGGGAGAGGGAGAGGGAGAGGGAGAGGGAGAGGGAGAGGGAGAGGGAGAGGGAGAGGGAGGAGGGGAGAGGGAGAGGGAGAGGGAGAGGGAGAGGGAGAGGGAGAGAGGGAGAGGAGGGAGAGGGAGAGGGAGAGGGAGAGGGAGAGGGAGAGGGAGAGGGGCGAGAGGGTGGGGTAGGAGCCTGGAAACCACGGGAAACCCCTCTGTGTTATGGGAATATATAGAAATGATCTCCACCGCTTCCCTCCAACTCCTTCCCTAACCCCTTTTCAACTCTCCCCATCCACCCTCTCCCCTTTCTTCCACTCCCTCCACCTACTTTATCTATCCCCACCCTCTCCGCCTCATCCCTCCCCGCCCTCTCCACCTGTCCCCGCCCTCCACATTTTCCTGCCCTCTCCACCTTTAAACGAAGATACACCTATATGATACGATTCGTGCTTATAAGGCGCGTAATTACATTTTCATATATATAGAAATGTTCATACTTATATTACTCATAATTATCCCACACATATACTTTCCTATATGAAGAAATGGCCATACATGTTAGTGTACTTATATCGTGAGTACTTAGAGGTAAAAATGGTAGAAATGCGACCCCAACGCCAACTCTCTCAATCTCATGGTTAAGAAATCTGAATGGCTTTCGAATGTCAAAAGTTTTCTTACATAAAACTTATCAAATGAAGAATGTTTATGGAAAAGGCTCTTACGATATTCATTTCAGATGAACTTTTGCGCATCAAGTTGACACACGGAATGCTTTTGTTTATGGATTGTTGGGGAATTCTTGTTGTTTATTTATTGTGTTTATGTTTGTTTTGTATTTGGAGAAGGGAGGTGTTATACACGCACGCACACGCACACGCACACGCACACGCACACGCACACGCACGCACGGCACACGCACACGCACACGCACACGCACACGCACACGCACACGCACACGCACACCACACGCACACACACACGCACACGCACACACACACACACACACACACACACACACACACACACACACACACACACACACACACACACACACACACACACACACACACACACACGCACACACACACACCTCCGTGTGAATGTTCCTCTATTCAGAGTCAAAGACTATAAAATTCCTATAGAAAAGTAATACACACTTCTTTGAATGAGAACTTCAGTGTCATGTTATACTATAACCAAAGGAAGGATTCAGATAACCATAATACTCTCTCTTATAACCATAATACTCCTCATTTCCTCCTTTACCATTTTCTTCTTCCTCCCCCTCCTCATTCTCATTCTTCTCCTCCTCTCCTCTCATTCTCTTTTCCTTTCCTCATCTCCTCCTCTAGCCTCCTTCTCCCCTCCTTATTCTCTTCCTCTACCTCATACTCCTCCTCCTCCTCCAGTGCCTCCGAGAATAGCCGGGGGCGAGGAACAGGCCGTCCCTGTGGTGAGCGGCAGATCAGTGGAGCTCGAGTGTGAGGCTCAAGGACAACCTGAGCCCGACCTCATCTGGACCTTCGAGGGAGAACCTGTTACGGAGAGCGAGGACCTGGTCCTTGACGGTAACACTTTGATCATTGACAGGTGAGTGACTGGAGGTGAATTCAGGTGACTGTCAATGACTCCCACATTTTTTTTTTTGCCGTATCTTATTTTTGTATTTTACCGTATCGTATTTTTACCGTATCTTATTTTTGTATTTTACCGTATCGTATTTTTACCGTATTTACCTTTTTTTATTTTTTTTTTTTTTTTTTTTTTTTTACCCGAATATGGCATTAATCTCATGGCGAATCATTCTTTTCTGTTTTTTAAGGATTCTAACTTGGTCTTTTAAAATGCAAATAGAGGAACGTGTGCATCGAATTAAAACGAGAGTCTGCTATATTAAGAAATAAGAGCGTTTTTTTTTTCGTTTTGCTGAGGTGATAGTTTAATTTTTTTTTTTACCTCGAAACACATCCTGCCAAGACTAAGGAAATAGGTGATATTATGCTTATTCCCAATATCTAAAGAAATGATCAGATAATATATATATAAAATGAGGATGGACTGAAGCTAATTGAAAAGATACAGCCCCTAATCTTATAGGGCTTACATCTTTCCTTACAACTTCATCAGATTGAATAGGGCAAAGGCAATACATTTTTTATTAATTAATTTCTTTTCCCGCGCTACATAAGGTCGTAAATTCACACTATATCACAAACAGAAAAAAACGAAATTTTTCAATCAAGATAATAGTGATATGAAGGACAAATAGAAGTAAAAAAGCAAAATACAAATGATGATAACCAAAAATAATATTATAGAAATAGAAATAAAAATATATAAAAAAAAATAGGAAATGCACGCATAAGGATCAGAAATCAACTCATAAAACCCCACGCGCCATGTATTTCACAAAGATCTAAATAAGTTTATATTTTACATAGGCCTCGCATTTTTCAGGGTGAAGCTGGAGCAAGCGGGAGTGTACGAGTGCGCGGCCACCAACGACGTCGGCCAAGACGCCAGGCGCTTCGTCGTCAGCGTGACAGGTCTGGGCGGAGGAGGAGGACTTGCTTTCATTTCCGAGTGTTGACTCTTTGTTTTCCTTTCTGATTTTTCTATGTTTTTTTCGTTTTTTCCTTTCTCTTTCTTTGTCTCTCTGTGTCGATCACTTTCTCTCTCTCTCGATCATTTTCTCTCTCTCTCTCTCTCTCTCTCTCTCTCTCTCTCTCTCTCTCTATAATATAATATATATATATATATATATATATATATATATATATCTATCTATCTATCTATCCTATCTATCTATCTATCTATCTATCTATTATTCTATCTATCTATCTATCTATATATAATATATATATATGTATTATATATAATGAACAAAAAGAATGAAATATATATAAATGTAATGCATATTATACATTCTCTCTCTCTCTCTCTCCTCTCTCTCTCTCTCTCTCTCTCTCTCTCTCTCTCTCTCTCTCTCTCTCTCTCGTCTCTCGTCTCTCTCTCTCTCTCTCTTCAATAATTGATTATTATATACACACACACACTACATTTTCAACAGCCAAAACAAACACCTCACACACCAACATATCACACACGGAACCACTCCCTCACTCAAAACCAAACACACGAATGACATATACGATTCAGACGCCATTTTCTCACGCCCACTTTTCCAACCCAGAGGCTCCCTTCATCACGGGCGGGCTGGACGAGGAGACGGTCACTGTGGTCGAGGGCGAGTCCGCCGCCCTTCACTGCGTCGCCTCAGGTCACCCGGAGCCGCTCCTGACCTGGATGAAGGTGAGTTGGAGGGTGAGTGGGTGAGTGGGTGATGTGTATGGGTGGATGGGTGATGGGTGATGTATGGGTGAATGGATGAGAGGGTGGGTGATGGGTGAGGGGATGAGAAGGTAGGTGAATGGGTGAGGGGATGAGAGGGTGGGTGGATGGTGAGGGGTGAGGGGTTGGGTGAATGGGTGAAGGGTGAGAGGGGTGGGTGGATGGTGAGGATGAGAGGGTGGGTGGATGGGTGAAGGGATGAGAGGGTGGGTGGATGGGTGAGGTGTGCGGGTGAATGGGTGAGGGGTGAGAGGGTGGGTGAATGGGTGAGTAAGTGAAGTGTCTGGGTGAATGGGTGAGAGGGTGGGTGATGGGTGAAGTGTATGGGTGAAGTGTATGGTGATGTGTATGGGTGAATGGGTGAAGGGATGAGAGGGTGGGTGGATGGGTGAGGGGTGGTGGATGGTGAGGGGGTGAAGGGATGAGAGGGTGGGTGGATGGGTGAGGGGTGAGAGGGTGGGGATGGGTGAATGGGTGATGTGTATGGGTGTGGGTGAAGGGATGAGAGGGTGGGTGATGGGTGAGGTGTGCGGGTGAATGGGTGAGATGAAAGGGTGGGTGATGATGATGTGTGGCTGAATGAGGGATGATGGGTGATGGGTGAATGGGTGATGTGTATGGGTGAATGGGTGATGTGTATGGGTGAATGGGTGAATGTATTGTGAGGTGAATGGGTGATTTTAATGATATTGATAACAATGATAATCCCCAATAATAACCATATCAACAAGAACAATAACAACACCGCACACCTAAATCACCTACCCACCTATCTAATACACCCGATACACCAGATGTATCATAAAACAATACCATTCCCACACCAGGAGGGCGTGGGCATGCGGCTGGACGAGCGCGTGAGTGTGTCCTGGGGCGGGCGGTCGCTCCTGCTCCAGTACGTGGGCGACGAAGACTCCGGGAGGTACACCTGCGTCGCCTCCAACCTCGCAGGGAACCACACGAAGGATTTCCGCGTCCAAGTCCTACGTGAGGGGCTGTGTTTTTTGTGTTTTTATTTATTTATTTATTTATTTTATATTTATTTTTATTTTTGGGGGGTGGGGGTGGGGTAGGGAGAGTAGTTCTTTGGGGATCTTTGGTTCTTGTTTTTTCTTTCTTCTTTTTTTGTTTTGCTTTTATTTTATTCTTTTTACTTTTACTTGTTGTGTCGGGGGTCTTGTTTTGTTTTTTTTCCTTTTTCTTTTTTTATTTTCTTGTTAGATATCCTTTTTTCTTTTTGGATTTCTTGTTTGCCGGATCACTGTTTTTTTTGTTTTCTCATCTGCTTGTCAGGGAATATGTTTAGGATTTTTGGGCTTGTTTTCTGGTTCTCTCTCTCTCTCTCTCTCTCTCTCTCTCTCTCTCTCTCTCTCTCCTCTCTTCTCTCGATCTCTTTCTTCTCTCTCTTCTTCTTCTTCTCGTCTCTCCTCTCTTCCTCTCTCTCTCTCATTCTGTCTTCTCTTCTCCTCTCTCTCTCATTTCCTCGTGCATTCTCCCCTCCCCTTCTCCTCCTCACCTCTTCATTCCTCCCTCTTTCTCGATCTCCCTTCCTCCTGCCTCTCTCTCTTTTTCTTTTTCTCTTCATTTTTGTCCTTTTTTTGTTCTTTGGAATTTCAAAGCTAATTGGAAGTTAGGCGATGGATTATAAGTTCCTCCCATTTTTTTCTTTAATATTTTCTATTTTTAATATCCTTTCCTTCATTTTATCCTTCTCTCTCGCTTCTTACTCTCTTTCTTTTCTCCTTTACCGATTCTCACTCCCTGCCTCAGAGTATTTTCACTCATCCAATAAAATTATTATAATTAGTAACAGAGTAATATCAAAATCACACTTTACAATCAGATGTTATAATATGGTGAGTGAAAAAAAAATCACCTTTTTTTTACAATCGTGAGTTTATAGTGAGATCAGTGAAAAATCACACTTTTTTTTACAATCATAAAGATATAGTCAATAAGTGAAAAAAACAACTTTTTTACAATCATGAGATATAGTGAGAAATCACTTTTTTACAATCATAAGGATATAGTGAAATAAGTGAGAAATCACACTTTTTATTACAATCATGAAGATATAGTGAAATAAGTGGGAAATCATACTTTTTATTACAATCATGAGGATATAGTGAGATAAGTGAGAAATCACATCTTTTTTACAATCATGATATAGTGAAATAATTGAGAAATCATACTTTTTATTACAATCATGAGGATATAGTTTAATGATCCAGAAACCACACTTTTTTTTACACAATCAATGATGAGCGAGGAGTAGATATAGTGACGTATGGTGTCGTGCTTCTCCCAGGTCGTCCTCAGCTCGTCGACGCCCCGGAGGAGGTGGTGGCGGTGGTGGGAGAGATAGTGAACGTGGTGTGTGCCTTCGATGCCTATCCACGGCCCAAGGTGTGTGCTTGTGATGTGTTGTTGTTGTTTTTTTTAGGTCGTCGGGGTCGGTTATTTATTGTTTTTTTGTTGTTTTTTTATTGATTTTGTTTGTTTTTGTTTTTTATTATTTTTTTTTTTGTAACTTTGGTCATTTTTAAATTTAAGTTTTAGTCATTTTATTTTATTATTTATTTACTTTTTCGTTAACTTTGTTTTTTATTGTTTGTTTTATTATATTTTATTTTGTTGGTAGTAGGTGCTCGTGTACTTTATTTTTTCTGCGTACGAAAAGAATTTTCTGCGTACGAAAAGAACTACTGAGACTACTGGTGGTTGGATGAAGAGTTCAAAACGCCAATTATTCGCGAAAAAATAATTTCTGCGCTGTATGGCTTGCTTATGTCTGGACAGATCAGCTGGCAGTTCGAAGGCACCCCCGTTGAAGGCGAGGGGAGCGTGCTGCCCTCAGGAGTCCTTCAGATATCCCCCGTGAGACCCGAGGACGCTGGAAACTACACCTGCTTCGCGAACAACGAGGCGGGCAGTGCCAACCACACCCTTACCCTCACTGTGCAAAGTACGTCTCGTGGTCTCTTGTTTGGTCTCTAGCTGTGGTCGCTATTTTAAGTCGTTCTGCTGATTTTGGCGCCAAAAAAATATCCGTTTCTGTGACAGAAAGTAAAAACTCTTAAAAGCATTTTTGGATTGCTTTTATTGAATAGGATAAAAAAATATAAAAAAGTTCGATTTTGGTTATCATACATCGATTATTTGGGTGAGGTATGCCCCTTATTGGCTTCAAATTCAACGTACGGTCTGTGATTTGCAATATTCAACCGTATCTAATCTAAAGTATTTCTATATTCTCTTCACCACCATAGGAAAGGCCATACCAACACGGCACCCATATATAAACAAAACTAATACCCTTTTCCCCCCACCGCAGCCCCGCCGTGGGTGGAAGTGGGCCAAGCGCGGATGGTGGTCGTGAGCGGCGAGAGTGCGACCCTCGAGTGCAAGGCTGGAGGAGTTCCCACGCCCTCCGTCACCTGGCTCAAGGGACACCAGGTCGTGAGTCGAGGAGTTGGTATGTTAAGGACGTGCTTCATTCTCTTAGATGATTATGATAAGGATTATAGTAACGAAAACCAGTCTTCACAAGGCAAACACCCAACCAGAGTGAAACAACAATTTTTTTTTTCAATAAATCCCTCATCAAATTTTGCCTCCCTCTTTCGAATGAAATATCTTTTCATTTCGTGGATTTTCGCGACGTGAAATCCATTCCCATTCGCCCTTAATCAGCGCTATATCTACTTATCAAAACCTTTCCCTAATCCGCAGAATTTGAGCCGGATGAATCAGGTTCTCTGTACATTCCTTTCGTGACCCCCGATTTGGCAGACACCTACGTATGTACTGCCCGGAGCTCTGCAGGATCAGCACATGCACACACGGAGCTGGTGGTACAAGGTAAAGAATAAGAAAAGGAAAATAGCTACAATGAGAAAAGGATTTTGAATTATGGCGTTTCGGATTCGTCGAGAGTTCCTCATCAGACGAACAAGTCGCCGTAATGGATTTCTTATTGTGGTTGAATCCTTGCTCATCTTTGTGTACGTTACTGTGTGTTTGTTAAGCAAGAATATGTCTTGTATATCAAAGAAAGAAAGGCTCATGCCGTAAGTATGCTACTTAATGAAAATATTGCATATGTTTCGTGTTGATTGCGTTTTCTCTTTTCGGTCGGTATATATATATATATATATATATATATATATATATATATATATATATATATATATATAGTATATATATATATATATATATAGTATATATATATATATATATATATATATATGTATATATATATATATGTTATATATATATGTATATAATATATAATATATATATAGTATATATATATATATATATATATATATATATATATATATAGATATTATATATAATTAAATTTAATCTAATTTCACCTATGATTTATAGATTTTTTTTTTTTTTTTATTATCCTCCACTATACCTTCTAAATAACCCGACTTTGACATGACCCTCTTACCACTCGTGCCTCCAGAGTCTCCTGTCGTCTTCGGCTCCGAGGATGAGGTCGTCGCCGCGGTGGGTCAGCAGGTCGTCCTCAAGTGCGAAGTGACAGGTCAGCCCACCCCGGCCGTGACCTGGACGCGACCCAACCACGCCAACACGCCCGTCACGCCCGGAGATCCGCGTGTACAGGTTCGTGATTGCGTTTCTATTTTTTTCACTTTTATGCAGGATGTTTATGGTGTGGAATGTTTATGGTAAAGAATGTTTATGATATAGAATGTTGACAATATTAAATATTTATGATATACAACTTGTGGTGTGGAATGTTTATGGGTTGAGATGTTTATGATGTAGAATGTTATGGTAAATGTTTATGGTTGAGGATGTTATGGCGTGGATGTTTATTGTTGAGGATGTTTATGATGTAGATATGTTTAGGTTTGAGGATGTTTATGGCGTTGGAATGTTTATTGTTGAGGATGTTTATGGATGTAGAATTTTTATGGTTGAGGATGTTTATGGTGTGAATGTTTATGGTAAAGGATGTTATGATGTAGAATGATTATGGTAAAAGGATGTTTATGATGTAAAATGTTTATGGTAAAGAATACTTGTGTCGAATGTTTTATGGTAAAGAATGTTTATGATATAGAATGTTACAATATTAAAATGTTTATGATACAGAATTTTTATGATATAGAATGTTTGCAATATAGAATGTTCATGATGTAGATTTTGTATGATATTGAATCTTTATGATATAGAATGTTTACGATACAGAATATTTATGAAATAGAGCCTCTTTCTCTCTTTCTCTCTCTCTCTCTCTCACTCTCTCTCTATCCTCTCCTTCTCTCCTTCTCTCCTTCATTCCCTTCCCCTCCCTCCCTCCCTTCTCTCCTTTCCCTCCTTCCCTCCCTTCCCCCCTCCCTCCCTCCCTCCCCCCTCCCTCCCTTCCTCCTTCCCCTCCCCTTCTCCCTCCCCCCTCCCCTCCCCCCTCACCCCTCCCCTCTCCCTCCCCCCTCCCTCCCTCCCTCCCTCCCCTCCCCTTCCCTCCCTCTCTCCCCTCTCCCTCTCTCCCTCCCTCCCTCCCACCCTCCTTCCCACCTCTCCTTCCTCCTCCCTCCCTCTCTCCCTCTCTCCCTCTCTCCCTCCATCCCTCCATCCCTCATTCTATCTACCCTTTCATCCGTCCCTTACACTCTCCGATCCGTCCCTCACTATCTCCATTTTCTTCCCTTTTTTTACAGTTAACAGACGACTCTCTCACCATCCTGCCGGTCGCCGTGGAGGACATGGGTCTCTACCAGTGCACGGCCACCAACCCCGCCGGCCAGGACAGCGCCTTCGTCACCCTCACCGTCCACTGTACGTCCTGGGTGGTGTATTTCTTTTCCCTCGGCTGTGTGGGCGGAGTTTGTGTGTGGGTGGATGGATTTTGTTGTAGTGGATGGATTTTGTGTTGTATGTGGATGATTTGTGTTGTTGTATGTGTGGGTGGAGTTTGTGTTGCATGTGGATTGATTTTGTGTTGTTAGGTGGAATGGATTTTGTGGTGTATTTGTGGGTGGGGTTTGTGTTGTATGTGGATGGATTTTTTTGTGTTGTAGGTGGATGGATTTTTTGTGTTGTATGTGGATGGATTTTGTGTTGTATGTAGATGGATTTTGTGGTGTATTTGAATGGATTTTGTGTTTATGTGGATGGATTTTTTGTGTTGGAGGTGGATGGATTTTTTGTGTTGTAGGTGGATGGATTTTTTGTGTTGTATGTGGATGGGTTTTTTGTGTTGTATTGTGGATGGTGTGTGTGTATGTGGGTGGAGTTTGTGTTGTATGTGAGTGGATTTTTTGTTGTTTCAGTGTGGATGGATTTTGTGTTGTATGTGGATGGATTTTGTGGTGTATGTGGGTGGAGTTTGTGTTGTATGTGGATGGATTTTGTGTTGTCTGTGGATGGATTTTGTGTTTTAGGTGGATGGATTTTATGTTGTATGTGGATGGATTTTGTGTTGTAGGTGGATGGATTTTTTGTGTTGTGTGTGGATGGATTTTGTGTTGTATGTGGATGGATTTTGTAATAGGTATAGGTGAGCGTTGGAGTTTTGTGTTTTGTAGGGGATAGATTTTTTGTGTTTAGGTGGATGGATTTTTTGTGTTGGAGGTGGGCGGAGTTTTTGTTGTATGTGGATGGATTTTGTGTTTATGTGGATGGATTTTGTGGTGTAGGTGTGATGGGTTTTGTGGTGTATGTGGGTGGATTTGTGTTTTATGTGATGGATTTTTTGTGTTGGAGGTGGGTGGATTTTGTGTGTAGGGATTTATGTGTATGTGGGAATTTTGGGAGGTTTTCGTATTTGTTGTAGTGGATTTATAAGGTGTTTAGAATAGGGAAAGAGAGAGAGGTGTGGTTGTGTGCTTTTTTTTTAGTTGTGTGGATTGTGTGTGTATGTGTGTATGTGTGTATGTGTGTATGTGTGTATGTGTGAGTAGTGTAGAGAGAGAGAGAGAGACGAGAACGAGAGAGAGAGAGAGAGAGAGAGAGAGAGCGAAGAGAGAGAGAGAGGAGAGAGAGAAGGAGAGAGAGAGAGTAGGGAGAGGTAAAACAAAAAGTCCAAAGTTTCCAGAAAAAAGGAAAAAGAAGAAAAAAAGATATAAGAATAAAAATAAGAGACTAAAAATAGAAGAAATCCAAAATGTACCTAAGTCCACCCATTTTCCTCCCATTCCATCCCCCCAGACTCCTCCCCAGTCCGAACTCGCCCATCGCGCAGGTCGTGAACGTGGTCCGCGCTCGAGAACCCCTTAATTTTAGGGGTGCACGGGCCGGCGGCTACCCTCCCCCCGCACCACCTGGATAAAAGGAGGGACGCACCCTGACCGAGAACGCCGCCCTCACCCTGAGCTACCAACGGCGACCTCGTTATCTTCCCCAACACACGAAGGTGAGGGTGCGGGAGACTCTGAATATCGGTGGTCTTTGTCTATCTGCTGTCTATCTGTTGATTGTGCGATCTGGGGATTGAGATTTATTCGTTTCGTGGTCTTGATGGGGAAATATGTGTATATTTTCTTTTTTTTCTTTCTTTTTTTTCGTTTTTTTCTTTTTTTTATTTTCTTCCTTTTTTCTTTTTTTTTTTTCTTTTTTTCTTGCTACTGCTGCCTAATGCGGGATTTTTGTTTAATACGTGGATTTTTTTACTGATTATATTTGGTTACACTTTAATGTGTCTGCGTTTTGTTTATCTCTTGATGATTGTCACATATTCAAAAGGATTTGATTTTATGATGGAAAGGGTCCCTAATGTTTTATGATACATGTTTTTTATTTTTTCATCTATCTATTTATCGGTTTCTTCTATTTCACGTCAATTTATATAAACATATTTGTACTATTTTATATATCCATTTGTATTATAATCTATTTTTTCTTCATCAACCCAATGTACCATCTTATCTATCTATCTTTAATTATCAATCAGTAAGTAATAATCAATAATTTAGAAACACGCATTTACCTTTTTATAACACGTTTTGACAGGCCAATGATGGTTTTGACGATGATAACAGTAATGCTGATGGTAATAATTACACTTTAATTATGTTAACTCAGGCTATAATCAGCTAGTCTTTCAATGACGCAATTTTCAACCTTCCACAGGCCTCAGACACCGGCTTATACATCTGCCTGGTGACCAACGCTGCAGGTCGTCTGTATCGCGAGGTTGCCGTAGTCGTGCAGGTTCCTCCCCGCTTCTCCGTCCTGCCACGCACCCAGCAGGTCACGCGCGGAGACAGGTCAGTGTGGATGAGAGAGGTAGTTTTATGTTGTGATGTTGGTGAGGGTGGTTTGGGAGTTTTTTTTTTAAGATGAGTGGGTGTGGATGTGGGTGTGGGTGTGGGAGTGGGTGCTGGGTGTGTGTCGTGGATGTGGAGTGGGGCGTGTGGATGTGGTTGTGGGTGTGAGGTGTTGAGATGTGGAATGTGGGTTGGGTGTGGATGTGAGAATGGGTGTGGGACTGGAGTGGGATGGGCGCTGTGTGCGGTGTGGGTGTTGAGAGTGGATGGGCTGTCGATGGTGTGGAGCGGTGGGTGGTGGTGGGTGTGTGTGGTGTGGGTGTGGAGAGATGATGGGTGTGGATGGGGGGTGTGGGTGTGGGGTGTGGGGTGGATGTGGATTGGATGTGGATGTGGGTGTGGTGTGTGCTAGGATCGTGGGCATGTGGATGTGTTTTGATAGTTGGGTGGTGGGAATGTGGATGTGGGTTGGGTGTGGGTGTGGGGTTGTGGCGGTGATGGATGATGAATGGGTGTGGGATGTGAGAATGGTGTGCGGTGTGGGTGTGGGTGTGGGATGTGGATGTGGGTGTGGGATGTGTGATGTGATGTGGCATCTTGTGTGGACGTGTGGTGTGGATGTGGATGTGTATGTGCTGTGATGGATGTGCGTGTGGCTGTGTGTGGGTGTCGATGTGAGGTCTGGCGGGTGTGAGAATGGGCGTGTGGTGTGGGTGTGGGTGGGGTGTGGATGTGGATGTGTATGTGGATGTTGGATGTGGGTGCGAGCATGTGTACGTGTGGGTGTGGGTGGCGTGTGGTGTGGGTGTGGATGTGTGTGGCAAGTGGGTTGTGGGATGTGGATGTGGATGTATGTGGATGTGCAAGTGTGGCTGTGGTGTGGGTGTAATGCGGTATGGGTAAAGAGTAAGAGTAGAGTAGAGTAAGAGTAAGAGTAAGATAGATAGATAGATAGATAGATAGATAGATAGATAGATAGAAGAGAGAGAGAGAGAGAGATGGGAGAGGAGAGAGAGAGAGAGGAGAAGAGGAGAGAGACGAGAGAAGAACTTTCACAGAGAGCTCCCAGGTTTGGTTTACCTCACTAATGAATATTTCTCACTAATGAATATTTTTAATTGCTTCTCACAGGTTCGAGCTCGATTGCGAGGCTGTTGGCACTCCTGTTCCGACCATCAGGTGGCTCCTTAATGGCACTCAGGTAATAGGTGGTAATTGGTGAAAATGGGTGAATTTTAAGGCTTAATCTGTTTATGTACTGAATTTGATTATCGTTCTACTAAATGATAATGATAATAGTGATATTTATTTATATATTTACTTGTTGTATTTATACTTTCGAATCCAAGTTGAATGGTGATGATATAATTTAATTGTGGTAATCAGAGGGTTAGTAATATAGTGTTTTTAAGTAAAACATATAGTTTAATAGATATTGATAGAAACGCAAAAACAATAAAATATATCACTTACAAAGTTAACCATGAATGATAATGATTTTTAACCATGAATAAATATAGTAATAGTTAACGATGAATAAATATAGTAATAGTTAACCATGAATAATGATAATATCTAACCATGAATTATTGTAATATGTAGCCATGAATGATAATAATATCTAGCAGGGAATAGTTATAATGTTTAACCATTATTAATTGTGATGATATTGAACCATGAATAGTGTTTGACTATCAATAACAGTAATATTCAACCGTGAATTATAATGATATTTAACAATGAATGATATTGAACCATGAAAAATTAAAGTAGTTAGCTATCAATTATGATAATATTCAAGCATGAGTAATGATAATATTTAACCATGAATGATAATGACATTTGACCATGAATGACAATGATATTCAACCATACATGATAATGATATTTAACCCTGAATAATGATGATATTTAACAATGAGTAATAACAATATTTAACCATGAGTAATGATAATATTTAACCATGGATGATAATATTTAACCATGAGTAATGATAATATTTAACCATGAGTAATGATAATATTTAACCATGAGTAATGATAATATTTAACCATGAGTAATGTAATACACCCCATGGATGATAATGACATTTAACCATGAATGATATTCCAACCATGAGTAATAATAATATTTAACCATGAAGTTAATAATGATAATATTTAACCATGAGTAATAATAATATTTAACCATGAGTAATGATAATATTTAACCATGAGTAATGAGTAATGATCAATTTACCCATCAGTAATAATAACATCTAACCATGAATAACAATGATATTTCCATAACTATTGATAATAATATTTTTCCCTCAGGTTGCGGGCGTGGGGCAGTCCCGAGGGGGGCGGGGGGTCCTGGTGGTGGAGAAAGCGGCCAAGACGGACGAGGGAACCTACACGTGCATCGCCGAGAATGCTGCCGGTCACAGGAAGGCCGTGGCAGGGGTCAGGGTCAAAGGTCAGGCTCGCTGGATGAGAGGTTGGGTTTTTAATGTTAGATGGGGAGGGGGAGAAAATCTGAATTTTATTTTGTGTTTTGAGTTTTTGAAGTCTTTGTTTTGGATGTGCAGTCATGTACATGCACACGCACTCATATTCGTACATACACACGCACACGTATTCGCACGCACGCACGCACGCACACCACCACACACACACACACACACACACACACACACACACACACACACACACACACACACACCACACACACACACACACACACACACACACACACACACACACACAAACCATAACCTTTACTCTCCTTTAATTTCATTCATCTCTAAAAATAATCATTATATTCCTACCTCTAATCTGACCCCACATTTAGATTCAATCACACAACCAACCTTCCATTCCAAACATTCCATTCCTAACATTCCATTCCTAATTCGCTCACTCAACGGCCACAGTTCCGCCCGTGATCATGTACGCCCCCGAGGAAATGACCGTCCTGGAACTCAACGCTGTGACCTTGACCTGTGTCGCCGAGGGTGACCCCGCCCCCGCCACCACCTGGACCAAGGAAGGCCACTCGGTTCACTCCTCGGACCGGGTGCACCTCATGGACAACGGTTCACTGGTTCGTATTAGGATTTTTGCCTTGGGGGGGATCAGCTGATGAGTGTTTAGGGAATCAGCTGATCGGGAATTGATTTTGGACTTGGGGGGGGGGTGTGAAGGATATGTGTTAGGGAATCAGCTGATTGTATGGAAATTGATTTGACTTGGGGGGGGGGGGGGGTGAGAAAATGTGTTTGGGAATCAGCTGATGTGTGTTAGGGAATCAGCTGATCGGGAATTGATTTTGACTTGGGGGGGGGGGGGAGATGTGTGTTTTGGAATCAGCTGGTATGTATCAGGGGATTAGCTGATACGTTATGTTTTTATGTCCTTATGTGTACACAATTTGAGTACATTGTGAGTTGCTGGGGATGATAAAATAACAAGAGAGAAGAGAGGAAATGCGAATATTTATTTTGGATTATCTTATTCAATGTGACGTGCATGTGATTTATTATGTTAATAGTTCTTGATATACAGGGGGGCATGTCATTTCTGTACTATGTGTGTGTGTATGTGTATGTATATCCTATGTCTTATATCTCTCCTCTGCTATCTCTATCTCTATCCTCTATCTACTCTATCTTAATCTATATAAATATATTATATATATATACTATATATATATATATATAATATATATATATATATTTATATTATATATAGTATATATATATATATATAATATTATATATATATGTATGTATATATGTATATTATTATATTATAATATATTATAATATATATATTTGTATGATATTTATGTATCTATGTTATTGCATATATAATATGCATTAAGCATGTAATGATATTATGTACTGCAACATATATTCATATACAACATCCGTATGGCGCGCATTTTTACATTATGTACATGCCTATGCAAATCTCTATGTATGCAGCCACATACATGTTCTTTAATTATATCTATTACTTACGCCCACGTACGCCCTGCCCACGCCCCCTCCCACTGCACCAGGCTGAGGCTCTGAGCACGAGTAACACCATCTGAACCACCCGCGCAATGACGTGGCGTGCAGCAAGACGGCGGCCGCCCAGCTCGTCCGGTCGGTCCACACCCCCGCCCATATGCTCACACCGCCCACCCGTCAGCATCGGTATTTTTTGGCCATTATGGTGTTTGTTTTTGATTGGGTGGATATGTGGGCGTGGATGGTTGGAGGATCATTGGGGATTTTGGAAGTCGTCTTTGTGTTTGTTTTGATTGGGTGGATATGTGGGCGTGGGATGGAGGATGGGTTGGATTGAAGTCGTGTTGGTGGATTTTTTTTTCAGTCAGTGGGCGATTAAATGTTATTTGTGTGTAAATGAAGGTTGGTTTTGGGTGTTGATGTGAAGTTGCCAGACATACGAATTCGTTGACAAAAGATTGCACACATAACACAGATTTATGTGTCTGTTATAATGAGTTTTGTGTCTTCTTTGTCTTCATTCATTTTTTAGTCTCATTGACATTTTTTTAGTCTTATTGGTATTCTGAACATGGATAAAAACAATGTCCTTTTTTCATATATCCAAATTCGTCGTTTCGTTTAGTATGAATAAAGATACGAATGACTTTATAAAGCACTTTTTGAAATCAGTCACGTTTTTCGTTCCATCACACTGAACTTTCTCTCCTAATCTTTACACGCCATTCAGTTTCAGTCAAGACCAGATAATGGATTTTTATTCCTTCTGAACAATGGTGGCAGTAGGTGGCATCATTCTGAACAATGGTGGGAGCAGGTGGCACCATTGTGTTTGTCTGTATGTGAATTGTTCGATTGGCATATTACATAACTGAATGCGTATTATTAGCAAGCATCCAGACAAACAGTATGTTTACGTATCTTTAGATATAATTGTGTGTGTGTGTGTTGCGTGTGCGTTGCGTGTGCGTTGTGCGTGTGCGTGCGTGTGTCGTGCGTGTGTGTTGCGTGTTCGTGTGCATGTGAGCGTGTGTGTTTATGAATCTGTGAATCTGTCTCTGTGCCTAATTATTTACCCAAACACCCATCACCCCCTCCAACACTCCCCTTTACCCATCACCTCACCCCTTCCACCCCGTCCGCCCAGTGGTGGAAGTTGGGGGCACCGTCGTGTTCGACTGCGAGGCGGAGGGATCGCCGCTCCCCGAGGTGCAGTGGAGCGTCAGTCCCGGGGAGATGCACGCCAGGTACATCCGCCTCACGAACGGGTCCCTGCAGGTAGGGGGTTTTACTTTTATTATTATTATTGTTATTGCCTTTATGATGATGATAATGATGAAAATGATAAAGAAAATGGTTTTATTATTATTATTATTATTATTATTATTATTATTATTATTATATTATTATTTATTATTATTATTATTTATTATTATTATTATTATTTTATTATATTTTTTTTTTTATTTTTATTTTATTTTTTATTATTTTTTATTTTTTATTTTATTTTTATTTTTATTTTTATTATTATTTTAATTTTATTTTTATTTTTATTGTTATTATAATAATCATTATTATCATCATCATTATTATCATCATCGTCATTATATTATTATTATTATTGTTATTGTTATCATTATTATTATTATTGTTTATTATTATTATTTATTATTATTATTATTATTATTATTATTATTTGTTATTGTTGTTTGTTGTTATTGTTGTTTATTATATTTATTATTTATTATTATCATTAGTATTATTGCTTATTGCTGTGTTGTTACTATAATGATTGAAAGAAAGATTTCGAAAAGTCTTTTATTGTTATGAGATATGCTGCTTAACAAAAAAGTGAGTTTCTGGTGTGACATTTTCGCCATATTTTTCTTTCGAATTTATGAAAATGTTTTTGCGTTTTTTATTCATATGTTAAGATCGCTTGCATTGGAGAAACACGTCTTATTCTTTTTCTTTCTTTTTTTTAGCTTATAGCAGCCCAGATCGAGGACGAAGGTCACGTGATCTGCCAAGCCTACAATGAACTCGGGGAGGACCTCGCCAAAGCTGACCTCAGCGTCAAAGGTACGACCTGGAAACCGGGGTCATGTGTAATCTTAATTCAGCTGGATCAAGTTTATATATGATGATGTTTGTGTCGTCTTTTCTATAAATGGAATTCCCTGATGTTGGCATTTGTCTCGCTGTGTCCTTCAGGTCGTCTATGGCATAAAATTCCATAATATTGGCATTTATATATGTGTTTTTCGAGTCGTCAATACCATAAACGAAATTTCTTAATACTGGCATTTATATTTCTGTGTCTTACGAGTCTTGAAATAAAAAAAAAAGAAATTGAAAATTCTTCCTTCTTCGTTTCCTTCTCTATGCCGATTTTCTTGTCACGCCATAAGCAGAATTCCTTAAAATTGGCATTATGTGTCACAGTCTTTCGTGTCGTCTCTGCCATGAACGAAATTCCTTAATATCGGCATTGTAAATCCCTCAACAGTGTCGGGCATGTGGGCATCGTGGGGCCCCTGGACGTCGTGTAGCGTGTCCTGCGGGCCCGGGCAGCAGACGCGGCGCCGGCTGTGCAATGCCCCCGCCCCACGACACGGCGGCGCCCCCTGCCCCGGTGACGAGGCCCATACCCGACCCTGCCGACCAGCCGTCCGTCCCGCTCGACGGCAACTGGTCCCCGTGGGATCCCTGGGCCGAGTGCAGGTGAGGAGAGGTCTTGCAATTGCATATTTTGTTTTTGCAATAGATGGTTCGGATCTTGGTGCTGAAAAATCTCGATATTTTCACTCACGAATGAAACTCTCGAAGATGGATGTGTAATCATGAAAATAAACCATCTCGTATTGCTATTTACTTCTGGCTCCAACACTATTTACCCTTATATTTATCCAAACTTCCATCTACTATTTCAACATCCACCATTCCAGCATAAACTTTACCCCACTATTACCCAATCATCAATCAACCAATCATACAATCTACTTATACGTCAATTTATCCAAACAATCCCCTTATCCATCTATTTATCCAAATATCCACCAACCGATCGTACAATCTCCTTAACCGTCTATTTATCCAAATATCCATCAACCGACCATACAATCCTCATATCCATCAACCGACCATACAATCCCCTTATCCATCTATTTATCCAAATATCCACCAACGAATCCAGCATCCCATTCACCGAATTCCACGACCCAGTAACAAGAAGAACCCCTAGTAACACACGATTCTCCACGACCCAGGAACAAACAACAACAAAAAATCTATGACACGACCTATAACTACGCCCTTCTCCTCAGCGTGACGTGTGGTTCCGGCGTAAGATTGAGGACGAGGTACTGCTCGGCCCCCGCCCCCCTCTATGGTGGTCGTCCTTGCATGCGATGGAATGCCGTCGAGAGGAGCCCTGTTCTCTGAGGGACTGTCCAGGTCTGCTCCTTCCGCCATGCCTGCTGGTTCTCGGGTTCTTGGGTTCTTTTGGGGTTCTTTTGGGTTCTTTTGGGGTTCTTGTTTGTGTTTTCAGATTTGGGTTCATAGGGGGGTAGTTCCAATAGGATTTGGGTTTAGGATTAAGGTTTTTTATATGAGGCTATGGCTGTGTGTAATATGTATATTTTTGTAACTGTATTTTCGGAGGAAACTTATTTTTATGTTTCCGAAGGGTAAGTCTGTGTAATGAACGATGGTGTTATGTATTATACACGTAATCAGTAAATACATCCAGAATCAGTAAAGAATTACTCATATGCAATCAACCAACTTAGAATATAGATAATATCAGTAAGAAGTGATGAAATATATTTTAAAAGTGCTGAAAACATCAATGAAGATATTAATGAAGTATCTTTAAAACATACAAAATGCACTATCAAAGTCAAAATTGAAGTGATAAAATATCTTTAAAACCGTGAGCACTTCCACTTCCGCTCCTCGTTCTTGCTCTCCACCCTCCTTTTCCTTCGTCCCTCTTCCTTCCCTCTCACCTCACTCCGTCCTTCTCTTTCCTTCCTTCCTTCCTTCCTCCTTCCCTTCCTTTCCTTCCTTGCTGCCCTTCCTTCTTCCTTCCTTCCTTCCTTCCTTCCCTTCCTTCCTTTCCTTCCTTCTTCCTTCTTCCTATTCCTTCCCTTTTACTTCCTTCTTCCATTTCCTACCTTCCTACCGTCGCCAAGATTCCTTCCTCCCGTTCCTTTCTTCCTACCTCCTACCTTCCTTCCTTCCTTCCTTCTTTTCCTTCCTTCCTTCCTTTCATTCCTTCCTTCCTTTCCTTTCCTTCTTTCCCCTTCCTGCCTTCCTTTCTATCCTTCCTTCCTATCCTATCCTTCTTCCCTTCCTTCCTTCCTCCTTCACTTCCTCCTTCCCTTTCTTTCCTTCCTTCCTTCCTTCCTTCTTCTTCCTCCTCCTTCCTTACTTCCTTCCTCCCCTCCCTTCGCTTACCTTCCCTCCTCTTCTCTTCCTCTTTCCCTCCTTTTTACTTTCCTACTTCCTTCTTCTCCTCTCCCCCCTTCTCTCTCTCTCTCTTCTCTCTCCTCTCTCTCTCTCGTTCTCTCCTCTCTCTCCTCTCTCTCTCTCTCTCTCTCCTCTCTCTCTCTCTCTCTCTCTCTCTCTCTCTCTCTCTCTCTCTCTCTCTCCCTCTCTTCTCCCTCCCTCTCTCCCTCTTTCCTCCCTCTCTCCCTCTCCCTCTTTCCCTCCCTCTCCCTCCCCTCCCTCTCTCCCTCCTTCTCTCCCTCTTTCCCTCTTCCCTCTCCTCCTCTTTCCCCTCCCTCTCTCCCCTCTTTTCCCTCTCCTCTCCCAAACAACAACAACAAATATCCCCCCCCTTCCCCCCGCCAGTGTCCGGAGGGTGGGCGAGTGGACGGCGTGGTCCGACTGCAGCACCACCTGCGGCCAGGGTCTCCGTCAGCGAACACGCCTCTGCGACTCTCCTCCTCCAGCTGCCGGGGGGGCGCACTGCCAGGGGGACGGCCTCGAGGTCACGCCCTGCTCTAATCCACCCTGTTTGGTAGGTTCTGGGGGTTGGTTGTGTGGCTGGGGATGCATCTTCCTTATTTGGGCGTTGTGGAGGGTCGTGTGGCTGTGGATGGAATTGTTATTGATTGTTGGTTGTTTGTGGTAGGTTGGTTGCGTGAGTGGTAGTTTTTCCTGTATGAAATTCTTCTTTGTTGTTTGGTAGTGCAAGTTGGTTGTGTGACTGGTAGTTCGTCGTGCTTGTTTGGGTGTTGTGAAGGGTTGTATGACAGAAAAGGGAGAACAAGTAAACACAGGAGTATCACTTCGTTGTTCCTGTTGCAATGACTATGACTGGAATTGTTTATTGCTTGTTGTTTGGTTGTGGTGATTGTGTGACTGGTAATTTTTCCTGTGAAATTATTCTTTGTTGTTTGGACCTGGTTGTGTGACTGGTAACTCGTCTGTTTTTTGTGGATGGTGGTATGACTGTGAATGGATTGTTATTGCTTCTTTTTAGGTTGTGGCGGGTTGGTTGTGTGTGACTGCGATTTTGTCTTTGTTGAACTGTTTTCTGTTATTTGGTTGTGGTGGCTGATAGTCTGTCTTGTAGTTGCTGGTTGTATGACTGGCAGTTTGGTTGTGATGGCCGGTTGTATGCCTGGAATTGTTATTGCTCGCCGTTTGGTTGTTGTGGTTGGTTGTGTGACTGGCAGTTTTGTCTGGGTTGAAATTGTTATTGCTTTGCCTGTTGTTTGTGTTTGGTAATTCATCTTGGGTGAAGCTGTCTATTGTTTTTTTTGTAATCATTTATTATAGTGGCTTAAAATCAGCTCTGAACAAAAGCCAACTGAATATAAAACAACATTATTAGATGACATTAACTTTTGTGTACATTATTTTTTCTGACTTTTGCCATTCTCCTTTTTAATAAGTAATAAAACTCAGCTACCAGTGTCTAAACGTCGACTAGATTCATCAATATAGTTTTCTTTTCTTCCTTTCTTTCTTTAATTTGTTTTTTTTCTTCTTTTTTGCTTGTTATTTATGTATTGAATAAATAACTACTACCACAGAAAAAATACACGTAAATTCACCCAAACTTTTTTTTTAGTTTTTATTTACCATTTCAAATCAAATTCCACAACACCCACCCCCTAAAACCCACTCACGCCCTCTTGCCAACAGCTGGACGGCAACTGGGGGACGTGGGCGGCGTGGAGCGTGTGCAGCGTGTCTTGCGGCGGGGGCGTGAGGCGGCGGGAGCGGGCGTGCGACGACCCGCCCCCCTCGAACGGCGGACGGTACTGCCCCGGCTCAGACACCCTCGAGGACTACTGCAACCTGGACATGTGCCCCGTCAATGGTGAGGGTCAACGAGGAATGGGGAAGGAGGAAGTGTAGATAGATGGGTAGAGGGATGGATGGATAAATAGTTAGTTAGTTAGTTAGTTAGTTAGTTAGATAGATATACAGGCAGATAGACTGATAGATAGACATTGATAGATAGGCAGATTGATAGATAGATATATAGACAGACAGTAAGATAGATATAGTTAGATATAGATAGATAGATAGATTGATAGGCAGGCAGATAAGCAGATAGACAGATAGAGAGATGGATGGATGGATGATGAATGGATGATTGGCTGAATCGATGGATCGATCGATAGATAGATCGACAGGCAGATAAATAGATAGACAGATAAATAGATGGATGGATGGATGGATGATAAATGGATGATTGGCCGAATACATAGATAGATAGATAGATGAATTGGTGAATGGATCAGTGAGTGAATGAATGAATAAACGTAGAATTGTACACACGATTAAAGTGTTTAGATACCGGTAAATGGATGAACGAAAAAATGAATGAATGGGTGAACAACTAACGGTTCAGTAGATAGGTGAGCAAATCTAGAAATAATAAACAATAGGCAAACAAAATGAAAAAATAGATATATGTAGAGAGAGAGATAGATCCGAAAAGTTTTAAGATGTATTTGAAGCATATTTAAACGTTAATATGAGGTACTAAAGTTCAAATTTCCAGTCTCAGAATAACTACATAAATTCCTTTGCCGATCCATCTAAGCAGTATTTTTTTACCGTGAAACTTGTTCATAATAGAGGTCTTATAATCGTACCATTTATGAAACAGCTTGCCATAAATCCCAAAAATCCAAAATCTCCCACACGCACCCCTCTCTCTACGACCTCCCCCTTACCAAAATGACCAGCCTAAACGACCTTCTACGCACACCCTCCTCCACTCCTCCCTCAAACGACCCTCCACCATCACCCACCCCCTCCTCCACTCCCTCCCTCCTCCTGAAACGACCTTCCATCCTCCTCAACCCCAACCTCTCTCCTCCTCCTCCGTGAAACGACCCTCTCCTCCTCCTCCCCGCCTCCTCCCCCTCCTCCTCCCTCCCTCCCTCAAACTTCCCCCTCAAATGACCTTCCACCATCCTCCCTCCCTCAAACGACCTTCCACCTCCTCAACCCACCTCCCTCCCTCCTTCCCCACTCCCTCCCCCTCCCTTAAACGACCTCTTCCACATCACCTCCCTCCCTCCCCACTCCCTCCCCTCCCTCAGACAACCTTCCACCCTCCCTCACCCTCCCTCCCTCCCCCTCCCTCAAACGACTTCCACCTCTCCTCCCCAACCCCCGACCCCCTCCTCCCCAACCTCCACCTCCCTCCCCCTCCCAACCCCACCTCCCTCCCCTCCCTCAAACGACCTTCCAAACCCTCCCCACCCCAACCCCCACCCTCCCCAACCCCCCACCTCCCCTCCACTCCCCCACCGTCCCTCCCCCCTCCCCCGAAACAACCCTCCCCCTCGCTCCTCCCTCCACCCCCACCCCTCACCCATCCCCCTCCCGAAACGACTTCCTCCCTCCTCCTCCCCACCTCCCCCTCCCTCCTCCCCCTCCAAACGACCTTCTCCCTCAACCCCCCTCCCTCCCCCTCCCCCCCTGGCTTCCCCGCTGGTCGTCGTGGTCGTCGTGGGGGTCGTGCACGGCGACCTGCGGCGGCGGCCAGAGGCGGCGGTTCCGCACGTGCGACAACCCCGGGCCGTCGCAGGGCGGGCGGGCGTGCACGGGGCCGGACACCGACTCGGAGGCGTGCAACACGGTCAAGTGCCCAGGTGCGTCGGCGGGGTTTGTTGTTGTGTTGTTGTTGTTGTTGTTGTTGTTTTGTTGTTGTGTGGTGTTGTTGGTGTTGTGTTGGTGTTGTTTGGTGTTGGTGTGTGTGTTGGTGTTGGGTGTGGGTGTTGGTTGGTGTGTTGGTGTGTTGGTGTGTTGGTGTTGTTGGTGTTGTTGTTGTTGTTGTTTGTTGGTGTTGTTTGGTGTTGTTGGTGTTGTTTGGTGTTGTTGTGTTTTGGTGTTGTTGGTGTTGTTGGTGTTGTTGGTGTTGTTGTGTTGTGTTGTTGGTGTTGTGGTTTGTTGTTGGTGTTGTTGGTGTTGTTGGTTGTTGGTGTTGTTGTGTTGTTGTGTTGTTGGTGTGTTGTTGTTGTTGGTGTTGTTGGTGTTGTTGGTTGTTGGTGTGTTGTGTTGTTGTTGGTGTCTTCTTGTTCTTCTTCTTTTTCTTCGGTTTCGTGTTTTTCTTTTTCTTCTTTTTGTTGTTCTTTGGCTTCTTGTTCTTCTTTTTCTTCGGTTTCGTGTTTTTCTTTGTCTTCTTTTTGTTCTTCTTTGTCTTCTTGTTCTTGTTCTTCGACTTCTTTCTTATTTTTCTTCGGCTTCATGTTCTTCTAATTCTTCTTCGGCTTCTTTTTTTCTTATTTTTCTTTGGCTTTACGTTCTTCTTGATGTTTTCTTCTTCGATTTTTTCTTCTTTTTTAATTGCCTTTACGTTCTTCTTTTTCTTGTTCGTTTTTTTATTGTCTTCTACTTCTTATTCTCTTTCATCATCATCTTCTTCTTGTTGCTCATCTTATTCGTCTTTTACATCTTTATCAGCCTCTTCTTCTCATTCTTCCTCAGTTTGTTCTCATTCTTATAGATATTCTTATTTTTTATCGGTCCTTATGCTTTATTTTTAATCTTATTCCGCTGTTTTTCATCATCATTATTATAATCATCATTAGATTTATTACTATATGTTGTCATTATGATCATTATGATTATTATTGTCATTATGATTATTATTGTCATTATGATTATTATGTATAATTATTGTCATTATGATTATTCTTGTAAATTATTTTTATAATGATTATCATTGTGACTTATCACGATCATTATTATTGTCATTTTACTTATTACCTATTAACCTCATCTCTCTCAGTGAACGGCAGTGAATGTCCCTTATTTTGCTTTTCCCTGAACCCCTTCTCCCCGTTCCCCTCGCAGTGAACGGCGCGTGGAGTTCCTGGAGCGAGTGGTCACCTTGCAGCATGACCTGTGGCCTCGGAATGCGGGTCAGGTCACGGCTCTGCAACAACCCTTACCCTGGTTTCGGCGGCGCCCCGTGTGTGGGAGAGGAACGTGAGGTCAGTGCCTTAGTGAACGACCTTATTGCAGATGCGGTGACCTTGTTGTTGGCTTGGAAGGGTCGTCGGTGGGGTTTTGTAGGTTGGGTCGTCCGCCGTGGGACTTATATAGTGTTATTAATTTTTCTGTACTCTGGAGGGTCGTCACTTTCGCTTTTTTTTTTATTTTTTTTTTTTTTTTTTGCATCAGTGATTTAAACGTTTACAGGGATATTTAAGACGTCCTAAGATATTAATGATTAGAACTTGTCGTAGTGACGTCATCTGAAAATGTCGGATAGTAATTTATTTATTCAGGCTTGACTAGTCCATTACTAGTCGTGTCTGTGAGGAGTCTTTCTTGGGAACCTCGAACAATCTGTGTAGGAAGACTGGTCCTGAAGTTTCTTCTGTTTTAAACGATATTTTAGGGATTTATTGAAGACGTGGTTTTAAGTTTTTATTTATTATTTTATCGTCTCTTGTTGTTTATATAAGACAGGATAGAGAATGGTAATATGATTTGCTGTACCTTGATTTCCTGCCTTTTATTTTCATTTATTTCCGTATTATGATTCCAGTGTCGTTTTCTTATTTACGCTTTTAACCTACTTGTCTATACCTTCCTTTACCTATCTATATTATTATTTACTAATTTTCCTTCGGATTTCTAATAAAAGTTTACTAATTTGCATACTTGTTCAAAATCCAGTCAGGACAACATCTGTCAATCCACCATTCCGCTTATTCACCAATTTATCCAAAAATCGATCAATAAGTCATTCTAACATTCCACTTACCTACCTGCTTATCCAAACACACATTTAACATTCAAGATACTCACTTAACCACCACCCAGTTAAAACATCCATCTATTTATTCATCACTTTATTCCGAGGTCCATCTGACATTCGACTTATCCATCTACTTATGAAAACATCCTTCTACTTACCCATCAGTTTATCCAAACTTAAGTGTACGATTTCAGTATTCAGCTCACCCATTGATTCATCCCGATATTCATCAGTCAATCCAGCATTTCCCCAACATTACCCCAACACTCCCCTTACATTCCATAAAGATTTCCCCAACATTCCCTTAGCACTCCCCTAACAATCCCTAACATTCCACAAAGATTTCCCCAACAATCCCAAACATCCCAAAAAGATTCCCCCAACACTACCTCAACATTCCCCCAACATTCCCCAACACTCCACCAACACTTCCCTAACATTCAACAAAGTTTTCTCCAGCAATCCCCCAACATTCCACAAAGTTTTCCCCAGCAATCCCCCAACATTCCACAAAGATTTCCCCAACACTCCACTCCACCTCCCTTCCCCTCTCCCTTCCAGACCTCCAGCTGCGAGGGAGACACGTGCGAAGTCCTCCCCACGCTAGCCAAGGGGACGGTCATCGGGGAACTCAACGGGGAGGACCTGGGCATCGTGTCCCTGGTGTCCAACGTCAGCACCCTCGGCATGCAGCGCACCGTCACCACCAGAGTCAGTCCTCTCATCCCCAAACATGTAAGTCGTGGTCGGTGCCCTTATTCTAGGTCATTTAAGTCATGGTCAGTTCTCTTCTTCCGATATGTAAGTCATGGTCGGTTTTCTTCTTCCGATATGTAAGTCGTGGTCAGTTTCCTTATTCTAACGTGTAAATCGTGGTCAGTTCTCTTATTCCATAAGTCAAGGTCAGTTCCCTTATTCCAAGACATGTAAGTCAAGGTGAGTTCATGTCATTTAAGTCAAGGTCAGTTCCCTTCTTCCAACATCTAAGTCAAGGTCAGTTCCCTTATTCCAAGTCATTTTAAGTCATGGTCAGTTAATTCCAACATGTAAGTCAAGGTCAATTCCCATCAGTTCCATTCCAAGACATTCAAGGTCATATTCCAAGACATGTAAGTCAAGGTCCCTTATTCCAACAATTAAGTCATGGCGAGTTCTCTTCTTCCAACATCTAAGTCAAGGTCAGTTACCTTATTCCAAGTCATTTCTTCCCTTTTCCAACATGTAAGTCAGTTCCCTTGACATTAAGTCGACAGTGTTGGTCAGTGTGTTGGGTGGGAGGGTGGATAGGTGGCGTGAGAGATGGAGGGATTGGCAGATAGACAGATGGATGGATAAACTGGTAGATAACTGAAAAGATAAACATATAGATAGGTAAGATAGATAGACAGTAGATAGGTAGTAGATTAGATATATTAGATAGATATTAGATAGATAGATAGATAGATAGACAGACAGATAGACAGACAGACAGACAGACAGACAGACAGACAGACAGATAGACTATCAAACTGTTCGATAGACAGACATAGTATAGATAGATATAGGTACAGAAACAAGGATATACATATTTTTACATAGTTTTTAAGGAATACTTAGAATATACCTAAGTAATGAAAAACAGTTACAATATAAACAAACCAGATCAAAGCTTGCGTCTATATAAATTACGAAAATGAATGACCTCGTTTGTCTGCAGGCCACCTGGTTGACCCCGCTGCTGGCTGTGGCGTCCCCCGTGTACTGGACGTCGGCCTATGAGGTCAACGGCGCCGCCAACGGTCATTCGCTCACCAAGGGCTTCTTCAGGAGGGAGGCTCACGTGGCCTTCGCTACAGGGGCGCGGGGCTTATATAAGCTCCGTGTAAGCTTGGTTTTGTATGTACGTGTATTTTGTATGTACGTGTATGTATGAGTACTTACTTACATGCATACAATCCTATATACCTTTAAAGCCAGCAAGGCATAGGGTAATTGTTCCTTTTTATCATTATTATCATTACTGTTTTATTTTCATTTTGATCATAATTTTTCTCATTGATAATCTCCTTAGTATCACCACTTTCATCATTATTAGTACCATTATTGTTGATTATTTATTTATTATTAAAATTACCACGCCAATTCACCTCGAAAGACGAGTGACAGAAGCACTCCAATGACCCTCTAAAGACAGTAAACCATAAAACAAGTTATTCCTTTCCCTTAAGTGAGACCGTGGACATGAGTCACGTGGTACGGGGTGTGGATGCCAACGTGGTCCTGCTAGTGGACCTCTAGCATTTTCATCATTACCAATATCCATTATTGTTATAGTTTTTTCTCACGTTATTAGTACAATTATAATTATTTTTTTGCCATTACCACTACCATTCTTATTATTTTCATCATTGTTAATTCTGATATTATCATCACTTTCTTCATTATGTACCATGATTAATTATCTATCAGATTATTACTATTAGTACTTCAACACAACCCAACTTCCGAGAAACAGAAGCACTTCTATCTCCCTCTAAAGGCAGCAAACCATGTCATTAATCCCAATATTATCACTATTCATTTATTATTTATTATTACTTATCATATCTTATCATTTATAAATTAACACCTCAACACAACCCAAATTACGAGAAACAGAAGCACTTCTCTCTCCCTCCAAAGACAGCAAGCCATAAATCCGGTTGTTCTTTCCCTCAGGTGAGACCGTGGACATGACTCACGTGGTCCGGGGAGTGGACGCCAACGGGGCCCTGCTGGTGGACGTCCAGCTGACAGGACACGTGCCTTATCTACCCCCGGGGTCCCTTATCACCCTGCAGCCTTATAATGGTAGGACTAGCGAGACTGGATGTTTTACTTGGATTTCTATTTTGTATATTTTTTTTTGTGGAAAGGAGAGCCCCCCTCATCCCCCCTCCATATAATAGAAATCCAAATAAAACAAGAGAAAAACGAAAGAAGGAAACAGTGAATAAATGAATGAATGAATGACAAGGAGATCCCCCTCCTCCCCCCTCCATATAATAGAAATCCAAATAAAACAAGAGATAAACGAAAACAAAAGAAACAGTGAATAAATGAATGAATGAAAGGAAGAGAGAGATGGTAAAAAGGAAAAAAAGGAAGAGAGAACTCGACCTGACAGAGTATTGTCTCTGGTATTGTATCATCGTTATGACCATTATTATCATTATCATTTATTATGCTGTGCCTTATCTGTCTCCGGGCTTCCTTATCGCTCTTCATCCTTGCAATGGTATGATTCACGAGACTGAATGTTTTATTTGAATTCTTTTTTGGGGGGGAAGAGGGGGAAATAAAGAATGAGATGTAAAGGGACGAAAGAAGGAAACAATTAATAGATTAATGGATGAATGAAAGATAGAAAGATGGGAAAAAAGAAAGAAAGGAAAAGAGAACTTGACATGGTATTATTTCATCGTTATTACCATTATTATTATCATGTGTTCTATCTACCTTTTGGCTCTCTAAGCTTACAGTGGTATTGTTCGTGAGACCGGACTTCTTAAGAAAGGATGAAGGAAAGAAAGAAAGAAAGAAAGGATTTGAAAATCGTAAATGGAAGAAAGAACGAATAAAGGAAATAATAAATATAGCAAGAAAAAGAGGAAAAGAATTGGTTTTTAGTGTTTGGTATCATTAATGATGTATAAAAGGTATTATTTTCTTTAATATTATTGACTTTGTTACTCTTACTGTTATTGTTATTGTGGTTATCAACTTTTCATTGCTGCAATCATCTCTATTGTTATACTTAATTTATCATATTATTTCTGTGTCTTCTACAGGCGAAGGTAGAGCATGTTACACTTAAATTTTAATTTGTAGATATGATAATCAAACTATTCACTTTAAAACGTCAAAGTGAATAGTAGATAGGTTATAACTATTTACACGTAGCTAGCGCTAGGCCATCGCAACATATATCAAATTTACACTGACCAGAAGCGTGGGTTCTTCAGCAAAGCGATTCCTTGATATCAAACCATTACTCATAAGTAACCAACGCATCTGAAATTGAAAGGATAATGGTTCCAGCTTCCTAGCAATCTCAGCCACATATAGTCGTATCCTACCAAGTTTACCAAGATGTATTTAACTCCTTGTATTTTGTCATAATATTAAGTATAATTATAATATTAAGTACCTAATCACTTCCCTTCTTCCTGCTTTCTCAGAGGACTACGTTCAGACTGGCGGCGGGTCGGTCTTCGCCACCTCGACCCGCACCTTCACCCTGGACGGCTACCACCTCCCCTACGCCTGGAACCAGACTATTTCCTACGACGCTGAGCTCGGTTTGCAGCCTTACCTCGTGCAGACCCTTCATGCTGCCGGTCTGGGGTCTGCGTATAGGTAGGGTCTTCGAGTTGGTTTTGTGCAGTTGGTCTGAGTTTGATTTCGAGTCGAAAGGAGGAAGGGTCGTAGCTTGTAAGGTGCTATGATGGGGTGATGTCTCGTTGGTTTTGATGTTTTGGGTCGATGGTGTGTGTTTTTTCTTTTGTGGGATCCGTTTTTTTGTTCTTTTATTAGTCTTTTTATTCGTTTTCATAATATTAAAGATATATTTCCTTGAAGAAGGCATGGCATAATGGAGGTTGTATAAAGTTGTTTCCCCCGACAGAACGAGTCAGGCCGAGCTGGACGTGGTCGTGTCAGCCTCCATCTCTCCGGCGTCGAACAGTGGCACTTGTCCCTCGGGCTTCACCCTCGACTCGTCAGGCCCTTACTGCCGCGACAACGACGAGTGCCTGGCATCCACGAGCCGCTGTTCCCACGGCTGCACCAACACCGTCGGGAGCTACTCCTGCGACTGCAACTCTGGCTACACGCTGGGTCCTGATGGATATACGTGTCAAGGTCCCTAAATAAGAGAGGGTTATGTTTTTTCTTGTCGTGGAATATGAGTAAAAGTATACTACTTTAACGATATGTTTTGACGGTTTTAGATCTGTTGCATCAGCGAGGTATTTTTCACGTTCAGACCGATAATTAGATAACACATTTTAGCGACAATTCTGTTCCATAGACCATAAAAGCAAAACAAATCTCTAGCTCATACTCTTATAAATATTATCTGCTGATTGTTTTAATACATGCACACAGCAGTCACGCACATTCACCAAATAGTTCAAAAGCGTTCATTCCCTCTCGACACAGACGTAGACGAGTGTTCAATGGCCGGAGTCTGTGGGCCGCTTGAGAACTGTGCCAACACCCCTGGTTCTTACACCTGCACGTACAACTGCCGCCCCGGACTCAAGAGGACTGCCTCGGGTACATCGTGTGAAGGTAATTGTGTCCTGGCTGCTACGTCCTGTATTTTTTACGTCTGAATTTGTATTATATAGGTTCTTGTATATAGTGTTATAATGCAGTGGAAACATATTCATAAATAACCCTCCATAGCAAGGTCTAGAACTCCGTTACTCGGTTATTAAGAATGACTGGATTCAGTGCCTTGCCAGAGAGGGTTGTGATAAGTAGAAATATGCTGCTATCATTTAGGAAAATAACATTATTTCCTATCTAACTCTCCATATCTCTAATCATCCTAGCACTCCTAAACACTATTTTTGAACTCCGTATGAATTAAAAAACACAATTTTTTGCCACCCTTTTATGGATACAAGTTCTATAAACTCCTAAAAGAATACACCGATATTTGTTTTCTTAAACTCCCTTATGCAAATTACTGATTCCCAAAAGACTGCATTTGTGACTGTTAAAAATCTGCCCTATTTTCAACCCTTGTACAGATACGAGTTCTGTCAATCTTAAAAGAAATCTGCATTAATTTTTTAAGTTCCCTTTGCTAGATGTAAATAAAACACACATTCCTGCCTATTCCCCCCTTATAGAGATACGAGATTTTACCAGTCCCCAAAAAAGAAAATATATATATTTTTTTTCATTTTTTTCCTATCCTAAAAAAATCTGCCCTTCTTTTATAACTCCCTTATATAGATACGATTTTACCAATTCTCAGAAAACACCAATTTCCGTCTTTTTTATAACTCCCTATGTAAATATTATTTTATAAGTGTAACTCCCTATGTAAATATTTTTTATAACTCGTAAATTATTTTTATCAATCCTCTGTTTTTTTTTAAATAATTCATAAATACGAGTGTTTAACCAATCCTCAAAGAAAAAAACATCTGCTTTTCCTCTCGTCAGACATAAACGAATGCACGGAGACGCCCGGAGTGTGTGACCAGACGTGCCTCAACCTCATCGGGGGATATCGGTGCGACTGCAGAAGGGGATTCAGGCTCGTCGGGCAGAGCCGCTGCGTCGGTAAGGGCGTGCGGGCGTGATTGTACATTTGATTGTGTGTCATACTTGACTTGGGAGAAGTCTGGAATGCGTGAGGGTATTACAAGGGTCGTAGATTTTTATGTTATGCTTAGGAGTGTGGATATAGGAGGACGATATAAGCTGCGCATATTACGTGCTATACTTTACTTAGGAGTGTGATATGAGGACTTTGCAAAGGGCGTAGATTGTGTGTTCTACTTGACCTTGATAAGTGTGGAATGCGTGAAGATATTGCTAAGGACGTAGGGTATATGTTACACTTTACTTAAGAGTATGGATACATGATATGGCTAAGTGCGTTGGTTATGTGTTTACTTATGTGTGGATATATGAAGATTAAGTGTATATGCATGAGAATATTGCAAGGTGCTCATTATATGTGGTACATTTAACTTTGAAGTGTGGATACATAAGGATATTTTTGTGCCTAGATTGTGTATGTACATATAAGTGTGGATATACGGGGCTTATGTGTTATAATTTGACTAAGAGAAGTGTGGATAATGAAGACATACCTGAATGCCTAGATTATGTGTGTGCCTAGAAATGTGGATACATGTTTAAGTAAGGAAGATATGCGAAAAGGAAGATATGAAGACAAGTAGGTACATCATCAGGTCTGTAGATAGATAGACTGATTGACAAACAGCTTGATGCCAAGAGAGAGAGAAAAGAAATAGAGACAGACAGTAAAAGAGAGAGAAAGAGAAGAGTAAATAACGATAAAGATTAAAATTAAGAGGGAGAGAGAGTGAGTGAGTGAGTGAGTGAGTGAGTGAGTGAGTGAGTGAGTGAGAGTGAGTGAGTGAGTGAGTGAGTGAGTGAGTGAGTGAGTGAGTGAGTGAGTGAGTGAGTGAGTGAGTGAGTGAGTGAGTGAGTGAGATAAGATAAACAAGAGACAGAAATCGAAAGAGAGAGAGAGACGAAAGACAATGAACAGCTCTCTACTTCAACAGACATCGACGAGTGTTCGCAGTTCCGATCGCCGTGTACCCATGGCTGTGAAAATACCGTGGGTTCCTTCAGGTGCTCTTGCCCCGAGGGTCACATGCTCTTGCCCAATGGTCGCTGCAAAGGTAAGTTCCCACCCCGTAAGTCTCTTTCTTTTCAGGTTTCCCGATAGTTTTGAAATTGAATTTACACTACGAATGATAATGATTTTGTTTTGGAAGTGAATTTACAAAGTGTGATAATGATTTTGTTTTGAAAGTGAATATACTACGAATGATAATGATTTTGTTTTGGAAGTGAATTTACTGTGTGATAATGATTTTGTTTTGAAAGTGAATATACTGCATATGATAATTTCGTCTTGAAAGTGAATAAACTCCGTATGATAATGATTTGTTTTGAAAGTGAATATACTGCATATGATAATTTCGTCTTGAAAGTGAATAAACTCCGTATGATAATGATTTTGTTTTGAAAGTGAATATACCACGAATGATGATTATTTTGTTTCCTTAATATTTTACTTTTTTTCTGGTTTTGGAGTAGTTTTGAAAGTGAATTTACTTAGTATGATAATGAATTCCTTTTGAAAGTGAATATGCTCCGTGTGATATTATTTTGTTTACTTAATATTAACTTTGTCTGTTTTTTTTCTTGGTAGTTTTGAAAGTTAACTTACTTCTTTTGATAATGATTTCCTTTTGAAGGTGAATATGCTCTTTGTGAAATCATTTTGTTGACTTAATATTTTACTTTTTCTGTTTTTTGGTAGTTTTGAAAGTGAATTTAATATGTATTAATGAATTTGTTCTGAAATTGTATATAATCGTGTGATGATTATATTTTACCTTTACTGTTTTTTTGGAATTGGATATACTCCATGTGATGATTATATTGTTTACTTGATATTTTACTTTTTCTGGTTTTTTGTTTTTTGGGGGGGTAGTTTTGAAAGTCAATTTGCTGTGTATTAATGAATTTGTTTTGAAATTGTATATAATCGTGTGATGATTATATTTTACCTTTTCTGTTTTTTTGGGTAGTTTTGAAAGTGAATTTACTACGTGTGTATTAATGATTTTGTTTACTTTATCTCTTTACTTTTTTGGTTACTCGATAGTTTTGAAAATGAATTTACCTTTTGCATTTATGATTTTATTCAAGAAACGAATCGTTGATTTAGTAAATTTGTAGATAGTTGATAAGTAAATGATATTGCAAAATATTACATAACTAAAATAAAACATAAAATAAAATATTACATAACTAAAATAAAACATAAAAAAATAAATAACTAAAATAAAATAAAATAACATAAAATAAAATATACATACTAAAATAAAACATAAAATAAAATATTACATAACTAAAATAAAACATAAAATAAAATATTACATAACTAAAATAAAACATAAAATAAAATATTACATAACTAAAATAAAACATAAAATAAAATAAAACAAAACTAAATACTCGAAGTTGTTATAAATTAATTCCCTCCTGGTCCCAGATATCAACGAGTGTGCAACATATCAACATGACTGCCTGGAGGAGCAAGAATGTAGGAACACAGAAGGGTCTTACATCTGCATAACACACTGTCCTAATGGCCTGACGAACGCAGACAACGGGACGTGTAAAGGTATGTGGTGTGTTAGGTGTTATGTTTTTGGATTTTTAAAAATGGTGATGTGTTAGGTTTTTTGGATTTTTAAAAAGGGATGTGTTAGGTTTTTGGATTTTTTAAAAGGTGTGTTAGGTTTTTGGATTTTTTAAAAGGTGGTGTGTTAGGTTTTTGGATTTTTTAAAAGGTGGTGTGTTAGGTTTTTGGATTTTTTTAAAAAGGTGGTGTGTTAATGATTTTGGATTTTTTAAAAGGTGGTGTGTTAGGTTTTTGGATTTTTAAAAGGTGGTGTGTTAGGTTTTTGGATTTTTAAAAGAGTGTTGTTTTTTTGGATTTTTTAAAAGGTGGTGGTGGTTGGTTTTTGGATTTTTAAAAAGTGATGTGTTGTTTTTGGATTTAAACAGTGATGTGCTAGGTTTTTGGATTAAAAAAAAAAAGGTGATTTGTTTAATGTTTTGGATTTTTTAAAAAGGATGTGTTAGGTTTTTGGAATTTTTAAAAAAGGTGATGTGTTATTTTTGGATTTTTAAAAAGGGATGTGTTAGGTTTTTGGATTTTTAAAAAGTGATGTGTTAATGATTTTTGGATTTTTTAAAAGGTGATGTGTTATGTTTTTGGATTTTTTTAAAAAGGTGATGTGTTAGGTTTTTGGATTTTTTTAAAAGGTGATGTGTTATGTTTTTTATTTTATTTTAAAAGGTGATGTGTTAATGATTTTATTTTAAAAAGTGATGTGTTAATGATTTTGGATTTTTAAACAGTGATGTGTTAGGTTTTTGGATTTTTAAAAAGTGATGGAGTAAAATAACAGAAAACAAAGGCAAAAAGACAGAAATCAAGATAAAAAAGAAAAGGAAGAGAGCATAAAGACCACACAGAAGGAAATAAACAAAAGGGAAGCAATTGTGAAGGAGAGACATTAGCTTAGATCCAAAGCGAAGGGAATTAGATTCGAGAGGAAGATCATCTGCTGTTGTTGTTTTTTTTTATAGATTTTAAAAACGTATGTGTGAATTGTTTAGATTTTTAAAAAGTGATATGTTTTTGTTTTTTGGAATTTTAAAAAGTGTGTCTTGTTGTTTTTTAGATTTTAATAAATGTGTTTTTTATATTTTTAAAAAGTGGCATATTGTTGTTTTTTTGGATTTTTAAAAATGGATATATTTTTTTAGATTTTTAAAAAAGTGATTTTCTTGTTTTTTATTTTTAAAAAGGTTGTGTTGTTTTTAATCTTTAAGAAAGTGATGCGTTCTGTTTTTTAGATTGCTTTTACGTTTGGGGGGAAAAATATGATTGCGATGTGGAAATATTTACTCATTAAAATTTTGTTCTCTGGCGTTTCCCTTCTACATGTCGATTACCTTTATATCATGATATGAAATACATTATATATTTGTTATTATGTAAAATACTTTTACGTTTTTCGTTCTCTATCGTGTTCATTGGTATTTCGAATTTGAGTAATATGAGTTATCTCTTGCTTATGATATAGATTTCCTATAAATCGTGATATGAAATGCTTATAGATATTTAAGTTCAGACTAGTCTTTCGAATTGAACAGTATCAAATATCCCTTCTACATGATACAAGTTACCTATATATCATGCTATCAATTAGATAAACATTTTCCTTTCATATCTTGTTCACTGATCTTGAGTAATATCAGGTATTCTTTCTATATGATATAGATTGGATACAGATCGTGCTATAAATTGAATATATATTTTCCTTTTCCAGACATTGACGAGTGTGCCGAGCAGATCTCAGGATGCCACTTCACACAGACCTGCTCAAACACATGGGGTTCTTACCACTGCACTTGCCCACGGGGATTCAGCTCCTCAGGACCGGGGCAGCCTTGTTTAGGTTCGTGAGGTTTTCCTCTTCGCAACGTGCAAGTATTTGGGTGTTGCAAAATGTTGATGTAAAAGATATGTGTATATATAATTCTTAAGCTTTGTGGAATTCATTGCATCCTAGAATTCAGTGGACATTGATTAAGAGCATCCCTCCAGAACATATACTATTATATCGGTTATATATGGTATATTAGCTGCTATATATAGCCTGCTTTCTGTTGTATATGGCATATTATCTGTTATGTATGACATAGTCTTCTCATTTTTTATATATAAAAAATGTTTCTGAATTTCGGATACAGGTGTTATATAGAAATGATTGACTGCTGCATGTCTCATTCCTGGCATTTTGATCATTTTGAACAGCATCCGCCATCAGTTATGGAGGTGGAGAATTTACAGTGCTATAGTATGCATATTTCTTTAAAAACTTACGGTTGAATAAAGTAATAAAGTAAAGTATACCTCACACTACTACTTGAATAGGAATTGCCATATTTTAAAAGTATTTGTCACTTTTCATTTACAACAGATTTTTATATGCAGTCAAAAAAGCTATTGTTGTATTCTTTTAAAATAAAAAATCAAGGGAGAATGTAGAGGAAAAAACTAAATATCATAATAAAAAACAAATAAAAATTATTTTCACCATCATCAGACACAACACAACGAACTCCCATGTATAAAAATCTCATCCTTAGCATCATCTCAAACTTTCGTCTCACAAAGTCCAAGTCCCTCCTCATTGTCCTCACGATAATCATCACCAGACTTTTCACCTCATAAAGCCCCAAGTCTCCCCATTATCCTCACGCTATTAGCTCACCGCAGTCCTTTCACCTCAAAGCCCTCTTATTACCCTCACGATAATCACCACCAGACTTTTCACCTCATAAAGTCCCAAGTCTCCCCTCATTATCCTCACCACCAGACTTTTCACCTCCTAAAGCCCCCCCTCATGACCCTCACCATATTAAGCTGTGATTATGTGGCGTAGATGTGAATGAGTGCCTGGCAACCCCTCCGCCGTGCAAGTACCAGTGCCACAACCTCCGCGGAACTACGAGTGCATTTGCGGCCCCGGGAACAGCGGCTGCCAGACGGGAAGTCCTGCGTTGGTGCGCTATGCCGAGCTCCTTCTGTTTCCTAAACGTCCTGGACTTGTTCCCGGGAAGGATAAGATACTGTATATAGTCTGCGATAGAGAGATTCAATGGGTTTGTTGTGGTTTAAGAGAGAATAGGTTATATAGTCTGCGATAGAGAGATTCAATGGGTTTGTTGTGGTTTTGAGAGAGAATAGGTTCTTTACTCCATGGTACTGAAGCCCTTTTTAATAAATTGATTGAAAAAAAGCGAGATGACATATATATGCGAGAGTCATAATGCTAATTGCTTGTATTTTTGAAATGTAAAAAAAAAACAAAAAATCAGTTTTTGAACCCCAATATTCACACAGACGATTATAAACCCTTTTTGAAATACTCCCCCCCCTACCCCTCTCAAAGACATCCCCCCTCCCCCCAAAAAAAAAAAAAATAAATAAATAAAAAAAATATTAAAAGACGAAACAGTCAGCTCTAAATGCCGCATTGCAGGGCTTCAGTACCTGGAGGAGGAAGGCGGTCGGGCGGCCCCCGACGCGGCGCCAGAGACCTCGACCCGCGCCGGGCTATCCGACATCCGAATTCCAGGAACGGCTCCTGCACTCCATCTACACGCGGAGGAGCTGCCGGGAGGGATTCGCGCTCGAGGACGATGAGTGTCGAGGTAATGTGGGTGTGGGTGGGGGAGGGAGGGGAGGGGGAGAGGGGGGGAAGGGAGTGGAAGGGGGAGAGGGAGTGGGAGGGGGAGGGGGGAGGGAGGGAGGGAGAGAAAGGGAGGGGAGGGAGAGGGAGGGAGAGAAAGAGAGAGAGGGGGAGAGAGAGAGAAAAAAAATATATATATATAGAGAGAGAGATTAAGCACAATGGATTTTACTATTATTTTTATACGATCAACTTTGCAGCTTCGAAGCAATATCCATAATGCGACTTCTCTGCTTTTGAGATTTAAGAATAACTTACCTTACGGTTTTTCTCATGTAAAAGCAGTGCCATTCGTTGAAATCATTGACGAAGAACGTAAAATATGGATGTTTAAATGCAGGTCGACACGATGTTAATGACATGGTTAATGACTATCTATGGCTTTTTGACTAATTGCTTCGCTCTGTTTGAATCTTTAACATAATGCCAAAGTTGAAACGTAACCTAAGCGCCGTTTTCGTTCTTCTCCGCTGCAGATTAATGAGAAAACTGGACGACAAATGGAATTATGAAAAGAAATGCAAATATGAAAAGAAAATGTATCATCTATATTGTTTTTCATTGACTCATGGAAGAGTTTTCACGCATGTCATGTCATTTACTCACCATCATATTAGTGTTCGAATTTCTTAACATGCAAAACAATAAATACAAATCGTATAAAATAACAACGATGTTATTTATGAATATCGAAAGACAAATTAGACAAAAAACTCCCAAATATGCAAAACAATAAATAAGAATCTTACAAAATAAAAATAATGTTATTTATGAATATCGAAAACAAATTAAACAACAACAACACAAAAAAAAAAAACGCTTTTCACACGTCATTGTTCGAGTTCCCTAACATCCAAAACAAAAAAAGTAAAAATCGTACAAAATAACAATAACGTCATTTATGAACATCGAAAGACAAATGAAAAAAACGAACAAAAAAACCAACATCTTCTAAGACGTCAGTGTTCGAATTCCCTAACATGCAAAACAATAAGTAAGAATCGGATAGAATAAGTATGAATTTCGAAAGACAAATTAAACTAACAAAAAAAACCCTTTTCAGACGTCAGTGTTTTCGAATTCCCTAACACACAAAAAAAGTAAAAATCGTACAAAATAACAATAATGTTATCAATGAATATCGAAAGACAAATTAAATTAAACAAAAAAACGCTTTTCAGACGCCAGTGTTCGAACTCCCTAACATGCAAAACCAAGAAGTAAAAATCGCACAAAATAACAATAATGTTATTTATGAACATCGAAAAACAGATTAAACAAAAAAAAAAAAAGAAAAAAAAAACGCTTTTCGGACGTCAGTGTCCGAATTCCCTAACATGTAAAACAATAAATAAGAATCGTATAAAATAATAATGTTATTCATGAACATCGAAAGACAAATGAAAAAACGAACAAAAAAACAACTTTTCAGACGTCATTGTCCGAACTCCCTAACATGCAAAACAATAAGTAAGAATCGGATAGAATAAGTATGAATTTCGAAAGACAAATTTAAAAACTAACGAAAGCGCTTTTCAGACGTCAGTGTCCGAATTCCCTAACATGCAAAAAAAAGGAAAAATCGTACAAAATAACAATAATGTTTTCAATGAATTTCGAAAGACAAATTTAAAAAACTAACGAAAGCGCTTTTCAGACGTCAGTGTTCGAACTTCCTAAAATGCAAAAAAAAAAAAAAAAAAAAAAAAAAAAAAAAAAAAAAAAAAAAAAAAAAATCAATCAATCAATCGTACAGAATAACATTAACGTTATTTATGAATTTCGAAAGACAACTTATACAAACAAACAAAAAAACGCTTTTCAGACGTCAACGAGTGCACGCTGCCGAGAGATGTCAGCACCGGTGCGAGAACACATCGGGAGCTTCATGTGCTTGTGTCCACCGGGGTATCGACTCAATGCAAACAGAAGAACTTGTGACGGTAAGAGAAGAGTGCTAAGAGGTGCTGTAAGTGAAAAATGAGTAAGTGAAAGAATTTTCGATGGTAAGTACATGTTATGTATGCTGTAAGTGAAAAATGAGTAAGTGAATGAATCTTCGATGGTAAGTACAAAATGAAAATGTATACGGTAAGTCAATAAGTCAAAATGAGTGAGTGGAAGAATCTTTGATGGTAAGTACAAAATGGAAATGTATGCGGTAAGTATAAAATAAGTAAGTGAAAGAATTTTT